CAAAAAATTGAAAAAAAAAACCTAAACGAGGGAGATGGTGGAGAGAAAAAAATGGGAAGAGGAGAAAGATTGGGGAGGGGGCACGGGGAAGAAAGATAGAGAGAGAAGAAGTTGAAGAATGGAAAAGAGAAATAATAATGATAAGAGGGGTAAAGTGAAGAATGGTAAATACATCATTTCACAAAAAACTGACATCATCAAATCAAATGTCTAGAAAACTTATGTTTTGAAAATGATGATTAAAAAACTAAAACATGTGTGGAAAACGCTTCTTTTTCCAAATTTCCCGTAATTTTGTTTCTAAGCTTTTTGATATGTTTATTTTAATTTATTAGTTTTGCATCAAAGATAATTATTTAAGTCGTTTTTATTAGTCAAAMCRAGCATARCTCAAATACATAGTTGAAACGGTAATTGACATAGTTACCAAATAATTTTCTACAAGAAAATACTAAATTTGTTTTAAATCATTTGGCCACAAACTATCTTTTTATTACAAACGTGAGGTAGAGGTTCAAATTCATCACATGTTAGATTTAATATATGTGTTTAATCCGTTAGTTAATGTTCATGTTTTTCTTTTTTTTTACAATATCAAATAAATTTTTTTTCCCAATAGAGTGGGAGATAAATACAAGGGAAAAAGACAAGAATATAAGAGTTTTTAATCTTTGTCATAGACCTATTATCCGATTTGGGAAATCAGGGTGAGGGTGGGGATTTCTTGCTCGAGGATGGTGATGGGTGGGAATTATCGTCCCATTTATTATTTTTATATCAAATTTTCTTTTGAATACAACAAATCAGGTGATGAATGATTGAACCTCGGACTTAAAAGAAGAAGAGAAATGTAAATTTAATTAAAAAAACATATAATATATATATATATATATTTAGTAGAATATATATGGTTTTGAAAATATTTCATGTTTTTTCTATTAATAATTTAATTGGAAGGGTAAATAAATAAATATAAATATAATGTTTTAAAATTGAGATGGAGCAATAAATTGGGACGGGGTAGGGGGATTTTCCGGTCTAGCCAAAATGTTTTGCCATATAAGATGCAAAATTAGGATTTAAAAAAAAACTACTAATTTTCAAAATAATATATATCTGAGACTTATTTTAAGAATAAAGGCATAATTTTCAAACTTATATTTAATATTACGATGTCACGTAAGTAGGTTGTCTCATATTGTTGCCGAAGTATTATAGGTAATAGTTAAGACAATTCTTCGAGCATTATTCTTAAAATAGGTTTGAGATATATATTATTTTAAAAATAAATTTAAAATTTAGTAATAGTAGTAAAGTTGAATTGGTTAAGGAATCAAGAGTTCGCGCGTCTCTATATATTATTGTATTCATAAATTAGTAATATTAAAACAAATCCCACAAAACTAAAAGTGAGAGAGATGTGTACAAATTTTTAGAAATAACTAAATACAAATCACCTTAAAAATGTCCCTTCTGCATTTTTCGAATGGACGTGTCCACTAAAATTTAATATTTCAAATTTATTCTTTGTTTTTATTATTAATAATTTTCATATTCATGTCCGAACAAGTTACACACACTTAGACTAATCTCATGAAACAATTGTTTGCCTCTACACGTAAGGATGGCTGGATTTGTGAGGTGATTACAAACAAAATCTCACCTTGAATAGGGAAAAGAATGATCATGGGTATATAAGAGGGGGCAATTATCTTCGAGACCTTTTGGGTGAAACCAAAAGCAAARCCGTGAGAGTTATGCTCAAAGCGGACAAAATATCATACCATTGTGGATATACGTGGGTACTAGGGGTACCGTTGTCAATTAACTCATAAAATAGGTGACCATCATCGAATTGAAAATCTATTCTAAATTTAACATACAAACCTATGCTTAAAAAGTTTTGGGGAGAGAGACTCAGCTTACAATTATGGTTAAAAAATGCATTTGGTTTTTGTAATTTCACTAAAGTAACGATCTAGTCCATAAACTTAGCTTACAACAATTTAGTCTATGTAACAATTTATTATTTCTCGTAAAAAAATTTATTCAAATGAAGTGTAAAATTTTCCCATATAACAATTTAATCTTTCTAATCTATAAACATATTTAGTCTATCTTTAGTTTATCAATCTATATATATATATAACCTAACAAAAAGAATCACGATAAGCAGTAAGTATAAACTTTAAATTACAAGAACTAAATTATTATCTATTAAAATTCAAGAACTAAATCGTTATTATCCAGACTACGACGACTAGAAGTATTTATAAAAAAACAAAAATCAATAATACAATAATTTTTAGTCTGAATCTCGTCCTTTTTCAAGCAAGCCTTTTGCCGTACTCTTCATTTTCGTTGAGGGAAAAAAAAAAGAAACGAAAAAAGAAAGCCAAGGAAGAGAGAGAACTGTTATCTTCCACACTTCTTCAAACCCTAGACCTCTTTTCGATCTTTCTTTCCTCCAACAAACCAAACCCTACTGTTCGTTTTTCCCCCGCTTCTCCTCCTCCGCCATTGTTTCACCTTCACCATTCCTCTCGTCTAATTCCCTCATCTGAATGACTTCATCTGATTCCCCCGCCTGAAACGGAAAAACCCTAATCTCCCCTTTCTTCTTAGCCTCCCGAATCCAGGATTTGGGGGTCCTGCTCGTCCTCCATCACTGGGTGGAATTCCGAATTCACGAGGTGGTTTAATTCGTCCGAGATATGTATAGGGATCGCGGAGGAGGAGGAGGAGGAGGAGGAGGAGGGGGAGGGGGGATTGGTGGTTCGTCGAAATCGGAGATCGTAGGTGGTACCTTGGATCGGAAGCGCATCAACGATGCTCTCGATAAGCACCTTGAGAAGACTTCTCCTTCTACTCCAAGAGGTCTTCATAGTAAGGAGAAGGAGAGGCTCTCTGTGCCGTCGACTTCGGCTGGTAAATCGCAGCTCGATCATCGTTCCGCGTCTCTATCTAAGAATAAATGTTCCGATGGTCAGTGTCTTTCTTTTCTCTTTAATCAGTTTTGAAAATTTCGCCATTTTTCTACCTTCTTCTTTTTTTTAATTTGGAAGAGCTTTGAGCTCTACTTTTAATATACACGTGATCTGTGTCCTGAAATGAACTGGGAATTACATTTTGTATTCTGAATGTTCTTACTTTTGATTCGTTTTTCTTCTTCTTCTTCCTCTTGGTCATTAATTTTGGTTTTGTGTATCTGACTAATTTCCATTAATGGCAGAGGAATCTGAAACAGACAGCGAAGAGTCAGATGTCAGTGGTTCAGACGGAGACGATACGTCGTGGATTTCGTGGTTTTGCAATTTGAGGGGAAATGAATTTTTTTGTGAAGTTGATGACGAGTACATACAAGATGATTTTAATCTTTGTGGCTTGAGCAGTCAAGTTCCATACTACGACTATGCACTTGATCTTATTTTGGATGTTGAATCTTCCCATGGTGAGGTTCTCTTGTCCTCTCACGCCGAGGTTTTATTTCTTTTGTGTTTTAATAATTAATAATTCTGCCCTCAAAGCTTCCTGAATTTCATAATTTCAATTGAAAGTTCAATGTATGTGTACGAATTTAACTTCTGAGCTATAATTATTGTCTAGAAGAATTCTGGTTGATTTTCAATTGATAAGATGGTTGAGTGACATTAGAATCTAGTGTTAGAAAGTTTAGAGTTCCTTCTAAAGTATTTCTTTTTCTAATTGATTGAATTTGGAATAGTTAGTGAAAATTTTACTTTTTGTTACTTTGTTTTCCTCTTATTTCAGTGATGTCAATTTAACATGCGCCTTGCAGCTAGTTAGCCTTAGTCTACACTACCATTAAAAAGAGGCTCAAGGACATATATTTTTTCTACCCATTAACCAGTTTCAGCCCCCTGTTTACTTCTGCTTTATAAGAATGATACTATTGATACAATGATGAATAATGCTGAAGATTCCCATCTTTATTTTTCTTTAATTTGGTTTTGCAACATGCTTTTTGCTGTTTCGTACAATGTGTTCGACCTTCTATTTTCTGTGTATGGGCCTTTGCAGGAGACATGTTCACCGAAGAACAGAATGAACTCGTTGAGTCAGCTGCTGAGATGCTGTATGGTCTTATTCATGTCAGATACATACTCACTGGCAAAGGAATATCTGCAATGGTAATTTCCTATACAGGTTTCTTTAACTGCTTAATTTCTCCCTTTGTTTAAATTTCTAATTAGCAAAATACAGCTGGAGAAGTATAAAAACTATGACTTCGGGAGGTGCCCGAGAGTTTATTGCTGTGGACAACCATGTCTTCCAGTTGGGCAGTCAGATATTCCCCGGTCGAGCACTGTAAAGATATACTGCCCAAAATGTGAAGACATATATTACCCCCGTTCAAAGTATCAAGGCAGTATCCTTTTTATAATCTATCATGTCTACTGCTTTCTTTTCCCCTTCCTGGTTTCAACATTACTCTCATATATAATTGTTTTGATTCTTGCTGCACCTTTACCTGCTTGTTAATGATATCAAAGTGAAGCATGACCAAATTTTTGTTATGTTTCTTTTGGCTGTGCTTTATTTTTCCAAGAAGCATATTTTAATATTTAATTAATTTTGATTTTTTATGTTTTTCCTATCGAAAATTAAGATGAAATTTTTTGAATAAAATTATGGTTTATTCAATTCTTCCAGTGATTTTTTTTCCATGCGATTCTTCTTTGTGATTACAACTTGAGTTCATATTTTGAATAAAATTGAACCACAGTTATGGCATATTGTTGAATCGTGATTACAACTTGAGTTCATATTTTGAATAAAATTGAACCACAGTTATGGCATATTGTTATTGTCAATTGTTAATGCAGTTGTTGTAAAAAACACCATCATGTGTTGGCGTAGTGGTCAATAAAGGCCTATGTAAAACAACAAAAGGCTGAGAGGGAATGAGTTCAAACCATATTATTCACTTACATACTATTCAATATTCTACAAGTTATCTTAGTTCCTTGGCAACCAAATATAGTAGGGTTAGGTGGTTGTCTCGTAAGGATAGTTGAGGTGTATACGAGCTGGCGAATATATGAAAGTTAATATATAAACGAGTTGTGGGAAGGAAATGATAATCTTTTGTTTCCGATGTGTAGAACTTTAGTGTTTTAATGTACAATTGAGTTTGAATTTAATTCATATTTTGTTACTTTTGTAAAACTTCAGACTTTCTACTTAACTTATTTTATGTTATGTTATTGATATAAATGCCTCTTTATTTTATTAATCACATATATAAGAAAATGAATAATTAAAAAAGTTGTTGCAAGGGATTGATAATCTTTTGTTGCTAATGTGTAGAACATTAGCGAATATTTTTCTTTGGTCTAGTAGCCGTCTGTAGTTTCTGATTATTTCGAAGTTGTACACTAGAACCGTTGCAAAGGAGGTCGTCCCTTATTGCTACATTATGGTCACTGCATTCTTGGATAATTGATCCTTTTTGGTTCTATAAGCTCGTGGAATAAACAGGCTAAGTTGTATTTTACAATTGCCATAAAATAAAAGAGGCATTTATATGAATAGCACTTGTGCTATATTTGAAAATGATGAGTTCTGAGATTCTTCAAAGATATATATTAAATTTATGCTACAGAGTGAAATTTCTCGTTGAAATGATGGTCATTTGCCACTTTTGTTTCAATTCTTTGTTTAGTGTTATGTTGAATCTGCAGTCAGTCTCTGATTATCAGTAATTTTTACTTTCCCAGATGTGCTATTAAGTTATAACAGTAATTTCAGATGTTCGAGGCTTTAGATTAATTAGTCTTGTAGTTTTGACAATATGGAACATAATTATAAAGCTTGCATGAACACATATCTGGCTCTTAAAGGGCTGGAAATGATTGTTTTTTCAATTATTTTTCGCAATGAATCTGGAATTGTGGTTGGTTCTCTCATGCCAATGTTGCAGACTTAGGCACATTATTGTCTCCTTTGCAATTGAATGCTTGCTAAATGGTCTATTTATGAAGCATCCATTCAATTTTTCTTGCTTTGGTTGTGTACACCTCTCAGTTTCTTCTGTTCTTTCAAGAGTTTTCCTTCACTCTCATAAGATATTGATGGAGCATATTTCGGAACGACATTCCCGCACTTGTTTTTGATGACATACGGACACCTTAAGCCACAAAAGGCGACACAGGGCTATGTTCCCAGAGTTTTCGGCTTCAAGCTTCACAAAGCATGATTGAGAGTTGGAAAGATTAATGTTGGGTCGAGATCTTCGATATTCATCCATTTTCAAATGCACTGCCCGGTGCGTACTTCTAATACATGCACGATGCTGCTGATCCGTGCTTACTCATGGTTCTAACCATCAAGGTAAAAAGCAGTTGTTGTTCAAAAAGTATCAAAATGATTATTAAAGAAAAATGTTCACAATGCATAAGTTGTCATAATTTGTCATGGTAGCAGAACATGTCTTCTTTTCTTATTTTCTTCCGTTTCATGAATTAAAATGGTGTTTGTAAGTTTATTTCTCTTTATGGGGTTGATAATCAAATTATTTGCTGTTAAAGTTATTGTACTTGATTCTTTTTCTTTCATTTATACACGTTAGTTTTTATGGCCCATGCTACCATTTCTAACTTGTAATAAATAGTCAAAACCCCCTGAAGTTTAGTTGCGATTGTGTGCTTGGGATGTTTAGTTCGTGGTTTTAGTAAGTTTGAGTTTATTGAAGTTCTGGATTGACGATTTGAGTTTGTATAACATGTGTTTGGTTGTGATTTAGAAAAGAAATAGTTATCAAAGACGTAACTTTAATGGCTTTGCCAAATGCTCTCGAAATTCTCGGTATTTTTGTATAGCACTTTATATTTGCATATGCAGTGTTATTATTGTATACGCTTGGTTTTCTTAATGTGATTGATTCTTATGATAATGTTGGATTATGAAATTGGAGTTGCATATGTATTGTTCATATACCACATTCTTTTTGCTCATATGAATTAATTATGAATAGTGATTATTTAGTTTAAGTTCTGCTTGCTGATACTTTTGTTCAATTTTCTTACCCGTAATTTTCTTTAAATTAATTTAGTTTTTAAATTCATTCTTTATATATTGCCATGAAATTGTTAGTTAAAATTGTTAATTAAAATATTGCCATGAATGTGTTTTTTTTTTCTTACAGGAATGCTAAATTATACTATAATTACGTTCTAATAATCTAACTCATTGAAAGCAGTGAGTATAATATAGAACTACTGAAAATTTACTTAAAAATTTGACAATTTGATAAATGATTGTAAATATTTAAAATTAAATTTAGAATTCAATCTACGTATTTATTTTTATGTTTTTAATATGCAGTTTAATTAGTCACTACCATATAACTCTAACTTTAAATTAAAAAATTATATTAAAAATATAAATAAGAATAAATGATTAAATATTTATATAATAATAATTTGAACTACGTGTGAAATTACTAGTAAGTAGTAACCAGTAAGATGTTAAGTTGCACAGAATTATTTGGAAGGTATCCAGGCATGAACAAGTTTTATGACTGAAAGTTGCATAAATTTGAAAATAGATCTTAATAATAATTTCGTCCCTAAAATTTATAACAATTAAAATTTTCTTCTGTATTTTAATTTATTAATCTTAATGACTGTTATCAATATTGAGAATTAAAGGACCATGTAACCAAACTAGCATCATGACAATCTATATTTGATTATTGATAAGGGTGCACTTTAGTTTTTGAATATTTTGTCATTCCTAACCGTAGGAGCTGTCGTCTTTTGATCTTGAGAGATTGACATAATCGTTAGTTTATTTATAACCGCGATTGTTGTCATGGCCGAATTGGGAGGGCGATTTTCCTTGTGAAGTGATCGTATCCTAAAATGATATAGGTGAACAAGTAGCGTATGCTAGGGTGTTTGAGTATTTTGTTATATTTAATATTGATCATTGTTAATTGGTTAAGACATATATTATCGACTAAAATGTTACAGGTTCAAATATTCACCATACCTAGCTAAACTTAAAAATATATATAGATGAAAAATTAATATGAAATTGTAAATATTTATGATATTATGTAAAAAAATTATGGTATTAAATACACTTGAACTAACTTATTTATATTTCTAAACTACAAAATTGAATTTTATTGGCCTAGGTTTAGCCTATTTAGTTGAATTTATAATGATTGTATTAAGAAATATACTTTGTGGATGTTTTTTTTGTAAGTACAACAAATGTGAGGATAGAGATTGAACCGCCAACCTCTAGAGAAAGAGTTAGATGCTAAACCGTTGAGCTAAACTCTGTTGGTAACCAGTAGCTAGTATTATTATTCTTTCAGATGGTTTGAAGGGGCAAAATAGGAATTTGGGACCGTTGTTGGTTTTATTAAATGTAGAAATTTAATGGCATAATAACTATATTTTTGAATTATTTGATATTATAGAAATTTGTTAAAATGACAGAAATTAAGAATAAAATCTGATTTTTCATATTTATTTTCTTATATGTACTTCTCAATTATGGTCTTTAATTCGATTTGGTCTCTTAATTTTTATTTACCTTTCATTTTGCTTCTTTAATTTTTAAACTCTCAGTAACAATTTGTTGCAAGGACACTTCTGATCTTTTCACCAAATTTTAATATTCAAATTGGTTTTTAAATAAATATATCATATTTCAATTGATTGAGAATTGGAATATATAAGTAAATTAATGTATATAGTAATAGAAATTATCTTATATTTTCAAATCAAGTTACAAACTTACCATTTAAGAATTAAAGACAGACTAAGAAACAGTCAACGACATCGTAAGAAGGCTTAAAGACAAGAGAAACATAACAAAGACAAAATAAAAAACTGCAACTCGAAAGCAAAATCTCGAGATATCTATATTTTTAATTCAAACAACTTAACTGATTTATTCAAAATGAAATATGTATGATAAAAAGGCAAAATTCAGTCAAGATTTGGTTCCAATTCAATGCATAATGAGTAAACATTTTGTTTGAATTGTCTTTGTCTTGACTTCCAACAAAACCACATTAACATTCCCTCTTAAGTAAGTGTGACAGATTTTCAAACATTACATCAAAATTCTCACAACTAATCCTTTCAAATGTTTTTTTCTTTTTGTTTAAATATAGTTTGAAACAATGTAAAATATTAATGTATGGGTGCGCAACATCACTAATTTATCGTATCTTCATCTCTAATAAATATTGCATCGATTATAGATTATGTGATTAGAAGACATATTTAATCATCAATAATCTTAATATTGTTAAGAGATTGGTGAATTACTTGAGCTCGATTCTATTCAATTAAATAATCATGATATAATTAGTATAAATGTACCATTCCCACTTAATGATAACATCGTAAACATACTACAATCTCGAGAATGATGACATTTATTTAATTGTAAAATAGGATCATATATATCTTATGAATATATAATAAAAAAAATGTATCGCATATTTATATCTCAATGAACGAAAAGGTTTTACATTGACATTAAGTTCAATCAATAGTTTCAATATAAATAAAAATGTCAACAAAATTTATGAAATTGTCAATAAAAAAAAAAGATAAATTATAGTTTTATCCCTTGAGTTAAAAGTTATAAGTTTTCAAAACGTATGATTTAAGGTGTGTTTGAGAGTGATTTTGACATGATCGAGTCAATTTGGCATTATCAAAATTACTTCCATTTCCATTGATCATATTTGACAAATTAAAAAAAAAAAGTTTTAAGAAAATTTAAAATCACTTAAAATTAATTTTTAAGATATCGTGATTTTGAAAAATCCATTATACTTAAATCTGTTTTTTCAAAATCACTCGTTCTACTATCACTCCCAAACACATTCTTAGCTCTTAAACTCTCAAAATATGTTTTATCTATTCAGTATTTTGATAGTTAACTAGGTATATTTCTAAACTAAATACAAAAATATGTAATATTGTAATGCGAACTAAAATGATTTTTGAAATACATACTTTTATTGACATCTTCACAAAGTTGTGATCTCGATATTTTAATCGACGCTGACATTTAAATCGTTGCTCGTGACCCTGTTTGAAAGCAAAAGTCCTTTCATTTCAAGGCAATTCTTTCAGGCAATAGGGCCCTAAACCATCACTTTCTTCCATCCCCTTTTTCCTTAAGTGGTTGGGTTTTTGAGTCATTACATTATTTAAATGTGAAGCTTTTTGTTTGACAATTTCAAAGCTTTGAAAAACTTTGTGTCAAAATTGTGAGCTTAGTCTTATATTGCATCAAGTTTCCCATTTTTTTGTTCCCCTTCAAATGCTATTTCTTTCATTTCTTCCTCTCCAAGTATTATTCATTTAAAAATATTATATTTCATTTCAATTAAAGTTCCTTTTTTTTTCTTTTGGTATTTATTAAATTAATACCTTTGACGCAATTTTAAAAAATGCCACAAAAAAAGACTTGAAAATTTAGTGTTTTAAGAAGGGAAGAGTCGATATTCTACCCTAATTACACAAATACAGCTGTACCGCGCTGGTTTATCAAGTATTTTCTCGTAGTGAGACATAATTTCGATAATAAAGATAACTAAAATTCATGAAAGTCGAGTCCTAAACGGACTATAGAAAATCGTAGTTTGAAACAAAATCGATCAGAAGTAGAGGATTTTTTTCTTAATTCAACAAAATTTAAATCTATTTTTCACATATTTATTAAAATAAAAACAATTCAACGTTCTACTTTATAGATTAAATTATAAATTTAGTACTTTGATTCTGATGTTTATATAGAATTAAACTTTAAAACACTTTTCGAATTTTTAACAATCAAGCTCAAAAGGTATAATAAATAAAAGAATAGGTCAAAATTAAAAATGCTCGATAATTACCAAGTAATTTTTGTAGTTTTATATACGTTTATTTTATTTTATCTTTTAAAACTAAGATGATTATTTAATAATACCACTGGGAATATTCTGCATAATCAACATTAAAATTTTAATTATTAGACATTAAGTTAAGACACTATGTAACCTGGCAGTTCCATTAATGCGTTTTAATTGTTCTTATTAATTTATTTTCAAAAGAGGGGGAAAAATAATTAAGAGACGTGGTCTCACTCTAAAATCCAATTTATTGAAATTAAAATGTTAAATTACAGATTTAATAAGCTTTTGAACTTAGAAAAATGACCAGTTAATTTATTTTAGTTTATGATATGATTTGGTAGGATTGAAATTATATTAAGATAATATTTTGAAAAATTCCAACACAAATTTTTATACATGATAGAAATCACTCAATACAAAAATATATGGTATATTTCAAGAAATTTAATGAATGAAGTGTCATGCTAAAATTTTAATCGAAAAAACGAGGTAAAAATAAAAGTGGTCACTTTTTGAAATATCGAGACCAAAACGATATTTTGAAAGTACGTGAACTAAAATAAACAAAAAAAATTCAAAGCACATAAACCAAAATAGACGTTTTGAAAATATACTAACTACAATGAACTAGAGTCGAAACTACATTGACAAAAATAGTATTCTAACATTTCCTTTTCGAGCTCGACAAATGTACGATTGTGGAGGAGTTCGTGATTTATGTTGACAAATGTCAATAAGTCTATACAATTTTAATTTTGCGTTCAGTAAATTCTATTAAACACAGAATAAAAAGATTATATATTAAATTTGTAATTTAATTAATTAAAAATGAGAAAAAATTACGAAGAGAATTAAAATAAAGAAGTTATTCCATTGACGGCAGATGCCCTTCGCCCGTGCAAGTAATTAAAACCAACGCATACGAGAAAGGGTATTTTAGTAATTATGTAAGAAGTTAGGGGCATTATAGTAAAAGACCAGCTCCCTTCCCCACCAGAGTTGCTTTTTTGGGTTTCGAATTGATCAGAAATTTTCTCATACCATAAATTCTACGAACACGCCGCTCCCCTCTCTCTCTCCTCCGTTTCTCACTCCTCCCTCCTTCGCTCTCAAATCGTCCAGTTTTTCTCCGCAGAATTCGAAGATATAAGCGCAATAACCCACCATACGAAGAACAAGAAACGAATCTTATTTGGAAGTTTTACCAGGGGAGATTTTTTCCAATTTGATTTCGATTTCGATTTCGTTTATTTGGGTTTATTTCTTATGTAATGCATCAGAAGAAATCGGAAGTTCAGATCGGAAAAGAAAGCAGCGGCGTCTCTTCCGATTTCAATCCAACCCCTCCTCTGTTTTTCCCGTCTTCAATTTCGATTCATCAGAAACACCCACCGCAATCGCACTCGCAATCCCATCAATCGGAGCAATTGGTGGATCAATCTTTTGTTCCTTATACGTCTTTCACGACCCCTCAAATTCTTGTTGAAACCCCGCCGAATCATGACCCGATTGTTCCCTCGCCGTCGTCTTCTTCGTCTACTGCGCCTTATAAGAGACCCCTCTTGACCCATAATCACTCCTCTCTCACTAAATCACCGACTCTGTATCGTCTCCCTTCCACCCCTCAATTCAATTCCATCAATCCCTCTTTCTTTTCCGTCTCTTTGGCCGTTCGGAGTGCTGCTTTCCGGTTGCTCCGGCGGCTCAAGCAGCTTCGCCGGCTCCGCGTTCATTTGCGGTTGATTCTTTTGTTTTCTCTTCCGTTTTTCTATTTCTTGGTTTCCCATCCAACCCATTCTTTTTTCCTCGATTTCCTTTCGGCTTTTGCTTTCTCTTCTGCTTTATTGTTCTCTCTTAATCTCGCCGTCCCTCGGCTTCCTTCCATACGCTTGTTCCTCGCCCGCTCTTTCCCGGTGAAGCTCATTTCGTCGTCTTCAACAACTAGAACGCATGTGCCGGTTTTCTGGTCAATTGGGTCTCGGTCAAAATCCGAGAAGAGATTGAATTCCGGTTGTTGGGTTCAGGTCTACAGCGATGGGGACGTTTATGAAGGTGAGTTTCATAAGGGGAAGTGCTCAGGGAGTGGAGTTTATTATTACTATATGAGTGGTAGATATGAAGGAGATTGGGTTGATGGGAAGTATGATGGATATGGAGTTGAGACATGGGCCAAAGGAAGCCGATACCGTGGACAGTACAGGCAGGGCCTCCGGCATGGATTCGGGATGTATAGGTTTTACACCGGAGATGTTTACGCCGGCGAATGGTCCAACGGGCAGAGCCATGGGTGTGGAGTTCATACCTGCGATGATGGGAGCCGATTCGTCGGGGAATTCAAGTGGGGTGTCAAACATGGGCTTGGCCATTACCATTTCAGGTATCTGAGGTGTTTCTCAAAAGGTTTCTAACTCTTAAAATAGAATCCAATTACGCATTGCTGTTTTTCTCCAATAGTTTCCATCTTTCATAACTGTTTTATCAAATTATACAATATGCATTGGGTGTTGATTGAAATCTGTGAGTGAGTAAGTATCACTTGGATGAGTTGTGGCTTTCATGATGAGGTTTGTTTGGTCACTGAATGTTTACTGGATTGCTGAGGCTCTTATAAACAAAGATGTCTAATGGCAATGTTTCATTTAATTTGCTTCTAGTTTTTTTAGTTCCGGTCTTTAATCCCACACATTTGTTTAAACTTCAAATGAAGTGATAGGCATCAATATAGGTACTGCTGAGTGTTGCCTGCTTCGATTTGTAAAGGAACCACTTAAATGCATACATTTCTTCTTTCGGTTAGTTTGTGTTTTGAAGTAGGCGTGATATCATTGGCTGATTTACATGGACTTATTTGGTTTGAATATTAAATCCTAATTAATTTTCTATTATATTGACTTATTGAGGACCCACTCCTTCCATTATGCTCATGGCCCATGTTACCAATCTCTCTTTGGAGGTTTTGCCCACAACAAGGGCAGGTCTAGAAGACAACTAGGGTAATAAAATATTAAGGTTAGATGACAGGTTTGATCCTTTAACTTTCACGGTTTTATCCAATAGGTAATTTTGTATCTTATAGGTTCTTAAGTTTTAAAAAATGTTTACATAATATTGAAAGTTAGTCTATCAAACACTTTTTAAAGTTTAAGGATATATTAGATGCAACATTGGAACTAAACTTGTAATCTAATCCATTATTAAGTTTTTTTTTCACTTGGAGGCTTGAACCTAGGATCTAGGAGGGTATCTCCCAACATTTAAGGCCTTACCAGGCCAACCCCTTAGTTTATCGTGAACTGGGCTTTCGTTTGACCAAGAACACCTTGTGTAGGGGATTTGGATGTGACTGATAAGTGGTTCATGTCTTGAGATGAGTTAAAGTATTAGATAAACCACACTAAAAAAGTGCCCGATGAACACGGGACAAGAATGGACCTCAGTTTGATTTACTCCGGATTGTCTCTTGAGATAGTAGTGTTAGCTTTGGTAAGGATGTGTGCAGCTCTGTTCAGAATGTGCATATAGTTTAAGCTCTATTATCAGTCATTTATTGAAACATATTTCATATGCTGATAGACTTAGGATAATAGTTCTTCCGCCTAGAGCTGAGAAGACTTTCCCTTCATGTGCTGCATTGAAATTCGACCTTACAGGGCATCAGATACAACCTTTGTATGCTAACGTGTACATTTTATAGCAATCTTTGATCTTTTCTCACATCGTTATAGACTATAATCTTGCTCTTCCGTTGTTGTATACTGGTTCTTTGAAACTAATTTGATCTATCTTCCCTATTATATTGATATTGAAACTTCTTCAAAACTTTTAGAAATGGGGATACATATGCTGGTGAATATTTTGCGGACAAAATGCATGGATTTGGGGTCTATCAGTTTGCCAATGGACATCGGTATGAGGGGGCCTGGCACGAAGGCAGTAGGCAAGGACTTGGAATGTATACATATAGAAATGGAGAAACCCAATCCGGTCACTGGCACAACGGGATTCTCGACATTCCAAGCACTCAGAACTCCACTTATCCAGTATCCCCTGTTGCTGTTTACCATTCCAAAGTGCTGAATGCAGTGCAGGTAAAATTCTTCTTTCCTACAAGGTGTCGAGTCATCTCGTGTCATTCAGTCCTCTTCCATTCTTCTTCAATAGAGATGGTTTTCTGATTGCTTTATAATTTGCATTATCTACAGGAAGCAAGACGAGCAGCTGAGAAAGCCTACGATGTGGGCAAAGTGGATGAAAGGGTGAATCGGGCAGTAGCAGCGGCAAATAGATCGGCCAATGCAGCTAGAGTAGCAGCAGTCAAAGCAGTACAAAAGCAAATGCACCGTGGCAGAAACAACCACGACAACATTCCAGTTCCAATTGTCTGAGTTTGTCTGAATATCTGCAGGAGCAGTTCATCGGTTAATAACCTCGTAGGAAGGTTCGTCCAGTTTCTGTTCAGTTTCGTTTGTCTCGCCTTACTTTTTAGCTCGTGTGTTGAGAAGAGGGATTGGATATGGGAAACTGAAAAGGAGCTGAAATAGCTAGGATTGAACTGCATTAACATTGCCTAATGAGAGAGAGAGAGAGAGAGAGAGAGAGAGGATAAAATATGCATATGGTAAACTAATTTTACACTTTGTTCCATTTTTGTAAAGATGAGAGGAAAGGAAGGTAAGATGAAGGGAATGAAAATCAGTGCTGGAAATGGATGAAGGTGTCATCCCAAAAGCCATGTTGTATTTGTGTTTGTTGGAATTGTTCTTCTTCACTATCATAAAATTGTTTATAGGTTACACTATATCTGCCTCTTCTCTTTGCTTACAAATCTACCCATTATCTGTGAATGTAGCAATTTAGGTCCTGAGGTCCACCAGCGACGACCGGAAAATTTTTCATACAATCCCTATATATACTTGCTATGAAATCGAAAAAAATAACCGACATAACTGACTGAATCGAATTGGTTTCATCTGTTTAAACTATCTCTGTTGGTTAGTTTGGTTTGGTTTTTTTTCTTCTTAAATATAAAAATAGGTCTATGGATTTGATGGTCTGTTTGGTTTTAGTTTTGTTTTTCTTGGGAAAAAAATGGGGAGATAAAAGAGGTCGTTGGGCAGTTAGAATTATGTGACTTGTGATTCTGTGAAGGATGAATTAATTAACAAAAAGAAAAAGATAATTTTGAAAAAAAGGGATTTGAACTTCTAACCTGCAGAAAATGAGAGATAATTTATGGTTTAACGTTTAGCTATGCTGATATTGGTATGTTCTATCTTGCTTTAAAATTTGGCAGTGTCAAATTAAAATATAGAAAAATTATAATGGTCATCAATGTATAGGTAGCTTAATATCTATATTAATATATATGTTAGTTAATATCTATATTAGTTAATTTGGGCTAACGTTTCAAATTCTTTTTTTGGATAAATTGTACAAACCACCCTTAAACTATGTTAGTTGTAAAAATTTCACCCATAAATTTTCATTTGTAAAAATCAAACCCATTATAAATGAAAAATTAGGTTCCTAAACTTTTAATAGTAAAAATTAAACCTTTATTATACCAATAAACTTTAAATTCTAAAAATTACACCGAAAATTAATACTTTTCTCTGAGAAATAAACAAATAAGTTAAAAAGCAACAATTCACATTGAAGTTAATTAATTACTTTAATCGATGGTTGTCTGATTTCTAATGATGATTCCAACTAGTTGCAGAATCTTCCTTAATTTGAGGGTGAATTTTAAAACAGAGTCACTATATTTTTTTTTTAATTTGAGAGTTTAATTTTTACCGATTAAAAGTTTATGATCCAATTTTTTCATTTTTTTTATTTAAGGGTTTAATTTCTGCTATTAAAAGTTTTTTAGTATAATATTTTCCTTTTTAAAAAAATTTACGAGTTTAATTTTTACTATTGAAAATTTATGGGTAAAATTGTAACTATCACCATAGTTTAGGGTGATTTTTGCAATTTACCCTTCTTTTTTATTCCTGTTTTGAGTTATTGTTTTTTTCCCTCAAAACATAGATAAAATTGTTATTTAATCTAAAAAATAAAATTTTATATTTGAACTCAATACTTACAATCAAAAGATAGGTGTCTTGAAGTTGCATATGGATTATGTTTCTGTTTTTCTTAATAACATTAAAAAAAAAACAGTGTCCAAATGCATTTTTTTAATGGAAGAAGAACTCAAAAAGCAATCTCTCATCTTCATATTTGTTATACTAAAAAAAATATTTAATAAAGAAGTTACTGGTTTTAAAAAAATTGCCATTTTTATATTTATTTTCTTTTTAAAATAATGTTATATTTTCAATTACTTTCATCCCTTAGAACAACTTAAGAAAAATAGCTTTTAAAAAACATTTATTCAAAATTTTTTTTTTTTGAGAAAGCAAAAGATTGCTTTGTTTTGTTTCAAACTTAACTTCCAAGTAATCTCAAATCATATCGCAAAGTATTATCTTAATCGTATTTAATCAGGAAATTTTAATATTTTTGTTAATACAAGTGTTATTAAATCAAAATTAATTAATAATTAGTTTTTTTCCTCGTATACCTTTGGTTATATAAAATTAGGGCACATGTGAAGGACTACTTTTGAATTGTAAGCTATCATAATCACAAGTAAGAGTGTGTTTAGGAGTGAGGATAGAATTAATAATTTTGAAAAAAGAATATTGAGGATGTGTTTGAGCGTGATTAAAATCACTTCCATTTTCCATTGATTTGTTTGGTTAATTTTAGGAAAACATAAAATCACTTAAAATTGATTTTGAATGTACCATTTGGTGATAATTTTAGAAAATCAATTATTCTTAAATCTCAACCTTAAAATCAATGGAAAATGAATTGATTTTGACAATGACAAAAGTGTATGCACCATTTGATATTAATTATTTTGTTTTTTATTTTACGTTTTTGAAAATTAACCTTACAAATACATTTTTTACCTATTTATTTATTCGTCTTGTTATCTATATTTTTTCAAACGCTTTGAAATCAAAGTCAAGTTTTGAAAAAAGTACGCTTTTAAAAACTTATTTTGTTGTTTAAAATTCAACCTAGATTTTGAAAGTGTTTTTTAAAAATTAGGCAACAAAATACATGAACATATAGGTAAAAGTAATATTTATAAGCTTAATTTTCAAAACTAAAAAATAAAAAATAAAATACTTATCAAAACGTACCTAAACTCTAAAAAAATTTAGAACTACAATATTGACTATAAAAAAATAATTTAAAGTCCAATAACATATGTTTCATAATGTTGACAACAGGAGGGAGGGTACTTTTTTTAACGAAAACTTATCAGAATTTTAAAATTATAGTACTTATTCAAATTCAAGGTAAAGATTGTAATATTTATTAGGTTAAAAGTATAATTAGATGAGTCAACACGAGCTTAATTTGACTGGTGATACTTGTGTCTGATTAAAAGGTAAAAAGAGCGCATTAGATGAAATTGAAATTTAGAGTGGAAATTGATATATTTTACGGTAAAAATTGAATCTTTTTCTATTGGGCCTATTGGGCCTATTGGGCTTTTCTATTGCAGCCCTAAAGTCGGGCAAATAACGATTTTTAGGTTCCTTTAGCCACTCCTATAAAACCAATAAACGACCAGAGCCTTCGTCCAGCCGCGAAGGGAAGTTCTCAAGATTTCTAGGGTTTCTGCTCTCTCCCACTAATTCGCCAAAATGGTAATCCCTTTGCCTATTGTTCATAATTTGGTTTGAATTTCATCTTCATGTTCGTAACCGGAAAATCCTTTGATATTATGTTTTATATTCATGGTTTTCTTCGACGTTTGGTTTTATTTTTTCTGTTAAGCGGTCAAATTAATTCTGTTTCCAGCAAAACTTGAAGAGATTAGATTAATGTAAGATTTCATGAATGTGGTTGACCGATTTTTCAATTTGGCGCGATGGTTTTCGTATTTTCTCAGCCTTGTTAATATAAAAAATGCAGTTCCCTTATTTAGATGTTTGTAGGATATTGGTTTTTTGCAATGTGTACCAAACTTTGTTATTTGATTTAGCATCTAGAAGATTTATGCTAATGCTGTAGTAAATCATTAAACATGATCGATCCTGTTCTACATTTTGATTCTTTAATTGACTCTGATATTGTTATTCAAACTAATAAAAATAATCTTTTCAATTCATCCAGTTAGTGTTGGTTATTTTGTAGGAATGATAAATCCGAGATCAAACGTGTCTTTTGGACTTAGATTTAATTGGGTTCGGTTACTAATTGAATTGGAGTCTATTTGTTAGTTCGGACTCCTTTCGATGGGCTGGTTTTTTGTATGCCCTTGTAGCTTCTTTCAGCTTTCTCAATGAAAGCTTGACTTCTCATTAAAAAAGAAGCCGGATTTTATATAGGTACCGTGCATTTTCGCTCATCCTCCTTTTGAACCCAGAGTTTGAGCTGTTAACATTGTCTAGCTAGAAGATTACATCCTTCCTAAAGACTTTTTTGTTGTTGTAGATTATGTTTTCTGTCTTGAACTCATAAATGGAGATTTAGGAATCACAGGATGCAATTTTTTTCATCATGTTTGTAGATTCTTCTTTTCTTTTTATGGTTGGATGCCTAACTTTCACGTCACCTTTTTTGATGTTGTGTAGACAAAGAGAACTAAGAAGGCTGGCATTGTTGGCAAGTACGGTATGTGCTTCTTTCATACATATTACTACTATACGATTGAGAGAATTTGGTTGAAGATTTTCATAGTGGAGAATATCCCGATGATTGCACTGAGAAGGATAAAGAGATATTTTATTAATTTATTCCAAATTTGCATTAGTTCTCATATATCATTGAGCCATTTTCTAGTATGTTTGCTGAAAACCCCCATCCCAGCCTCCACCTTCAGAAGAAAAAATTGTTCTCTTTCTGTTAAAACTTTATCCTGACTCTTGTTCCCTTCTTATCATTATTACAAACATGTTAAATTGCTTTCTTGATTACAGGCACTCGATATGGTGCTAGTTTGAGGAAACAAATCAAGAAGATGGAAGTAAGTCAGCACAGCAAGTACTTCTGCGAGTTTTGCGGAAAGGTATTCTAATTTTTAAATGAATTTCCTTGCATTTTTCGTGACTGAAGGTCATTTGAATCTGGGAATTTGAAATATTTGAACAATATATGTATCCTTTCAGTATGCCGTAAAGAGGAAGGCGGTCGGAATATGGGGCTGCAAAGATTGTGGTAAAGTGAAAGCAGGAGGCGCTTACACCTTGAAGTAAGGACATCTGAATTTCTCTCGATTTTCTTTTCTGTCATCAAGTTTTCCTCAATGTTTTAATTTCATTATGCAGTACTGCAAGTGCCGTCACTGTGAGGAGTACCATAAGAAGGTTGAGGGAGCAGACAGAGAGCTAAATTACCTGCTAGATTTGTCATTCCATGTTTCAATGAGATTGAGCGGAATGATTTTGTCGAGGTACTTGAATTGTCTTTAATTTCATACATTTTGGCCGAATTTGTATCTTCTCTTCAAACAAAAGTTCTGAAATTAATCGGTTTGTTGAAACTATCATTGACTTGAATGAATGAGGGATATTTATTTTACGAGTTCGAATTTCAGTTTAATATTTATTATAAGCTAGTAATTCTCTATATATTGTAGCTGAGGTGGTGGTTGTTTATGTTTTGATTCCTTATCGTAAATCTCTCCAACCCAACCTAACTCAACCCGTCGCATGGATCAAACCTCTGGATGTGTGTGAAGTGTTGATGGTTTACAAATCTGGTTTGAAGATTGAATTGATTATTCGATTGATCAAAATTGAATAGATTGATATATTTTTGGTCTAAAATTATGAAATTTGAATTTTGATTGACAGTATATTTTTGGCTTGTACCCTGCTTAATGGTTTTATCATTTATGAATGAATTTGTGTCGATACAATTTTTTTTTAATGAAAAGATACAATTCATCTTGAATATGAAATTAATTTGAAATAATAATTTTCTTTTAAAGAAAATTGTAAAAGCTATTGAACTATAGTGATTGTTACAATAAGGATCAATTTGTCCTACAAATTTACTCTCTTTTTACTCTTTTTTTCAAATGGGTCTATTCAATTTTCAGAAACTATAAGTTGCTTTTAGGGCGATATGGCCGTAGAATTGCTTTCAAGATTTCTATGTATTTTCAAAAGAAGAAGTGCAACTAAATCTCTCACCACAATTTGTTCCTATTTTTTGTTTTTTTCTTATTGAAGAAAAATATAATGGGTAGTTCTAACCTCAAGAAACTTGTTTTGGGCCTCAATTTTTTCACTAGTTAATTATATAATTTTAAATTTTAAATTTTTTATTTTTGAACAATAGTTTTAAATTTTTATTAGAATCTTACAAAAATCTGGTTAAAATGTGAGAATGTTGTAATTAGATGGTATTTGTTCATTTTAGAGGAGGAAAATTCGCAATCTCTATAATCATTTTTATTTATTGTGTTGTATTTTGCAAAAGAAAAGAGAGAGAAAAGGGCAATTTAGACGTAAAAGAAAAAGGAAGAAAAGGAACACCAACTTTCGATGAATGGCAATAGCAAACAACAGGAGAATTTGTCTCTAACGTCTTCTTATGTTTCCTTTTATTATATCACTAATTACTTCTACATCTCTCTCTTCCTAATTTACCTATATATATATATATATAATATTTTTTTTTCCATTTCAAATTAAGGTTTGGATTAGGCCAAATTATCGTATTCATTTCAAATAGTTTGTACTCGATTTCAATTTAGTTCTTAATAATTTTCAAATTTGTCTTTAAATATTCTTATGCATTAAAGTTTCCCTTTAAATGTCTATGGACGTGTTAGGTGGATTTCTCATCTTTTATAATAATAAAAAAAACATAACCGCATTTGTAATTAAAAGAACATAAACATGTTTCCTAACAATTTATTGCTTATTGATCTCTAGAATATTATATTACAAAAAGTAAGTTTTATCTATGTTTTAGAAAAAGAGAATGGACTAATTCAAACCAAAAAAAAGAAACCGAAAACATTAAACTTTAATTTGTTATCAAAAGTTTTAGAAGAAACAAGAAGATTAGTAAATGACTGTTAATTAATCAAAAAATTTCGATGGAGTTCCTCTTGAATTTCTATGTGGTCCAGCATTATATAGAGAAGTGGATCACATAGAAATTATATAAAATTAGAAAATTCATTTGTTTATATGTTATTAGACAACGTGTGAAATCGGGAAGTTTTGAGGCAAATCATATAGATTAAGTTTGGATTTTTAAAAATCATTTTATTATTTAACCAAACATTTTTTATTATTAGGAAAGGGAAAAACAAAGGCGGTGGGAATTTGGGTAATAAAACAGTTGCATTTTGGGATAGGATTAGTTTGGATTAGCTGATTGCATGGACAACCCACCCAAATGTGGGCCCCACTTAAGGATATTATCTACTTCTTGATTATTGTATGGTTTACAAACAACGCTCTTACCTTCTTCGGAAGTTTTTTAGTACACTTCGAGAGTTCCTATTAAAGTAATGTCAAAGCGAATATAGTTCAATAGTGATTGGTCGGTGTGAATTCGATATCTCAACCCCACATATTATAATAGAAAAAATACATATTTAAGTAATATATATTACTTTATTTTATGAGTCTCACGTCTTTCTTAAATCTTCCTTCCCTCTTACTTCTTTGTTCTCTTTTTGATCGAGATACTTCTTGCTCAGCGTAGACAAATAAAATTTCACAATGATTGCAAGTTCTTCCGATTTTGTATTAACAAAAAAAGAAAAGTCAAGTCTTGGAAGTTTAAGTGAAAGTTTATTGTAATAATTCTATGAGAAACAATTTTTTTTTTTATCTAGGAGTCGGTGATCCTTTGACCTTTTTTGTCTCTATGCCTAGGAGGTATGCACACTGTCCCCATACTCCTTTGGGTCCCTACCGACGCTGGGGTGCGAAAGCATGGGGAGTGAACGGGATTAGATACCCTGGTAGTACATGTCGTACGATGAGACGATGAGTGTTCGCCCTTGGTCTACGCGGATCAGGGGCCCAGCTAACGCGTGAAACACTCCGCCTGGGGAGTACGGTCGCAAGACCGAAACTCAAAGGAATTGACGGGACCTGCAACTTGGAAAAATAGAGTTTTGAGAGAGTTGCTTTGCTTTGATCCTGACATCTTCGGAAAAAAAAAGGTAAGATCTTTTCCCTTACTTAGGAAAGAGGATAACTCCATAAACTTTTAGGTCAAGCCCGTTACCATATACACCCCCTCACAACTTCACATAATCATGATTTGAACCCTCATCCTCTAACTATTTTTACTTTCCCGGCTCTTTATTACATTTAAATAAAATATATCATGTTTAAGTTAGCGAACAAATTTAAAAGTAGCACATGTTAGATATCACAATGACAATTTTTTAAAAAAAATATTCAGCTCAATTGAATTTACGTATCATGTAGCTGTGAAGGTAATTCAAACATAACTCAACACCTACATGCATCAACCATCAATAATCTCTCTTATTTAATTTACATTTTTTGTTATTACTCTGAAAGTTACATTTTGTAATTTTTTTTTTTTTTGAATGGCATTATTCCTAAAATTATGGAAAAAAAAAAGAAGAAGAAGAAGAAGAATGGCATATTAGTAATTATAGAGAAAAAGGTGAGGGAAAAAACAGAAAGCGAAGGGAGTAGAGTGACAGTACAGATCACGCAGCTCTGTATCAGAAAATACGGAGATTATGAGTGGGCCCCACCGACGGGAATCTCACTAACAAACTCTCTCTCTCTCCTCTCTTTCTCTCTCCTCCCCCTCAACAGAACTTTACTTACACAACAAGCAACCATTCCGCCATGGCCAGTTCTTCTTCTTCTCTCCCATCCCTATATATAAAATCGCCATTTCTCCTTCACTACAAATTTTTCTTCCTCAATTTCCCATTCAACTTCATTCCCTGAAAAACCCTAGAGCCGTTTCTTCTGCTCTGCTGCGGATTTGGGAGACTCCATGGCCGTTTGAGGGATTATTCTGGTTTGTTTTGCTTTGTTCTTCTTCATCCGTGTAGGTTTCTTTTTTTAGGGTTTCTTTTTGTTCTGACATGTTTGGTTGTTTTGATTTTGGATTGGTTTAATATAATGGCAGAAGAAGGAGCAGAGTTTCGGTACGAAAAAGTAAGATGTATGAAGAAACTGGCTGTTCTGATCCTAACTCCATGTCAGCGGAAGCTGTACGAGAAGTTTCAGAAAATGGGTTTCCACAAACCATGGTGCATATCGCCGCTTTGCCTTCGTTTCCTCCGCCGCTCATCGCCGGTGGTAGCCAGGAAAATGACGCCGGGTTTGAAGAGAATCTCAATCTTTCCATGGAGGAGCTCTCCTATCACCACCGCGGCGGTGGCGGTGGCGATGCCATGGAACTTGAGTTTCAGCAGCAATCGGCCGCGGCTGTGGGGTTTGATAACAGCACTCATGATGGTGGGATTAACATTATTAACCCCAATTTTGCTCAAGATCAAGGGACTGGTGATTCGAATCGGATGGTGTGTTTTGATCAGTCCAATTGGGTTGGGAATCAAATTCAAGAAATGGGATTAGGGTTTAATCATCACCATCATCAGATTCAATCTCAAGAGCAGCAGCAATTTCCTGATTCCGCCATGGCCGCCTACAGTACTCAAGCTCCGGACCTCTTGAACTTCTTCAACCTGCCGGCGGCCAGATGCTCGAATTCCTCCCCTGTTCTTCCCAATTCCTCCATCTCCTTCTCCAATCTCCACTCCTCCGCCATGGGAGGCTTTCTCACAGACCTTCCCGCCGGCGGGGTCGACAGTGGAAACCCATCTTCGACCTCGCTCTCTATACTGTACGATCCTCTGTTCCACCTGAATCTGCCGCCGCAGCCGCCATTGTTTAGGGAGCTGTTTCATTCTCTGCCACACGGGTACGGTCTGCCTGCGGCGAGTTCCAGAGGGCGGGGAGGGAGCCTGTTCCCGGAGGGAGAGATGGAGAGAGAGGGAACCGCCGGCGTTTATGAGGACGGCGACGGGAGTGGAGTTTTGGAGTTCACAAGGGATATGGCGGATTGTATGGGGAAAGGGAGAGATGGGAAAATGACCAAACATTTTGCCACTGAACGACAGAGGAGAGTTCAATTGAATGACAAATACAAAGCTCTAAGGAGTTTGGTTCCTAACCCTACTAAGGTTTACATAATATTTCTTCACTTAAATTCATCGCTGTTTTTTGAACTTTGATTTTGATTTTGCTTTCTGGGTGTGGCTGAATCAACCTCTAATTCATCTCTCTATGAACTGCCAGTCTTTTTCCTCTATTTCCTTTGATCTTGGACAAGAAACTAGACTGATTAGTTCACTATTTTTCACATAAATTTTCTTTCTGGGTGTGGCTGAATTAAGCAATTTCTCTCTTATCTACCCACCATCTTTCTCTCTCTTTGATCTCAAAGAACAAATTGGACTGTTCATAAGGGAGGATATAACTTTAATTTGCTTTCTGAGTTTGGATAAATCAAACTCTCTCTCTCTGACCCACCATTTTTCTTCTCTCTCCCTTCACATATAGATAGAAAAATACTTGACATTTACCATCAGCACCCCTTTTTTGTTTACTACCATCAAAATTTTGATAAAGATAGATAAATGCAGAAAAAGCAATATTGTTTATATTTTTCAAAACTGTCCAATTTTTATTGGTGATCAAAACAAAATGAGTGCCGATCGATAAGCAGTTGGATAGGCCGTCGAATGGCTTCGTACTTTTAAGTTCCTAGGTTGATTTAGATTATGCTATATTTTGTGTAAAATTGCATTTGAAAATGCATTTTCTTTGTGAAAACCACAGACTGATAGAGCATCCATAGTGGGGGACGCCATAGAGTACATAAAAGAGCTTCTGAGAACAGTGAAGGAACTGAAGCTTCTGGTGGAGAAGAAGAGGTGCAGCAGGGAGAGGAGCAAGAGGCACCGGACGACGGCGGAGGAGGAGGGGGGCGGGGCGTGGGACGTAGAGAGCTCGAACGGGAAGGCGGTGGCGGCGGAGGCTGCAGGTGCAGAGGACCAGAGCTACAACTTGAGGAGCTCGTGGCTGCAGAGGAAGACCAAAGACACAGAAGTAGATGTGAGAATAATTGACGATGAAGTGACCATAAAACTTGTTCAACGCAAACTCAACTGCTTGTTGATTGTCTCCAAATTGCTCGACGACCTTCACCTTGATCTCCACCATGTCGCCGGCGGCCACATCGGCGATTACTACAGCTTCTTGTTCAATACCAAGGTAATTCTATTTCTAACTACAATCTTTTCTTTTTTTTGTTTGGTAGAACGTTAAGGATCCCGAAAAGAACAATAGACCTGGGTTACTCTTAAATACTCATTTCTTTCGTTAAAATACAATAAAAATATTTAGGTGCTTCTTAGTCATATCGGATGAATTTAGGTACCGACGAGTATTTTTCTACTAACCACCATTAAAAATTTGATAATGGTAAGATGCATGAAATACTTATTCACCTGATCATCTATTTTTAATTAAAAATTTTAGCCAATAAAAATACTGATAGGGACTGAAAATAGTAAAAAATCTAGTCACCATACATATTTTCTTTGAGAAGTTTGAGACATGATCACCTTTATGTCCTTCCCTTGGAGGGAGGTTTTTTATTTTATTTTATTTTTATTTTTATTTTCTTTTAGATGGTGATTATTTTAATTTTAGGATTTATTGGAAGTACAATAATTAAATTTATTTATTTATTTATATTTTTTTTGTACATAAATTTGTTTATTTAAAAGTATAGGAACTTAATTACGTAGAGTAAATCTCAAATACAAGGACAAAAAAATTGAATTTTAACTGGTTTATTTTAAATAGAGAAAGGATGATATCTTTCTTTGTTTCCCCTTCAAACCTTAAGGCTTCAAAGTTCTAAAAAATGGGTCCCATGAAGCATTTTTAAATTTTCTTCAACAGTTTGCTTTATTTGTTTTACCATAAAAATGTTTTCAAAATTTTGATTTTTATTTGGTAATCATATCTTTGTCCATTCATATTTTGGATTGGTAGTTTCTTTTAGTTTTTATTACACGATAAATATGAGGACACGTGGGAGATGCTTTAACAATAAAGCTATGTTTAAATTAGCTTTGAAATTCTTCTTTCTTCTTTTGAGTTCAACAAAATGTACGAGTTAAGATTCGAACTTCTGATCGTTTAGTCGAGAATACATGTCTTAACCAGTAGAATTTTAATTAGCACGAGAAGTTTGCTAAATTTATGATATCTACTACTAATTAGTCATGAAATGATACAACAATAATCTAAGTTTTGTGTATTTTTGGATGATAATTTGGATCAGATATATGAAGGTTCATCAGTGTATGCAAGCGCCATAGCCAGCAAGGTGATAGAGGCAGTGGACAGACACCCACACCAATAGCTATTAGGTTTGATGATTTTACATTCCTACCCTCCTAATTCTTCATTTCTTTATCTTTAACTTAACTACTCTTTTTTTTTTCTAAATAAAAACACAAACTCTTTAATTCCAACAACTTTTAATTTAATTTCCCATCTTCACTCTTCACTTACATATATTACATCACACAATCTCTCTCTCCCTCTCTCTCTCTCTCTCTTAGTTGTTGCTTAATTCTAGTTTGAACCTCAAAGTTTGGGACTTTTTTTTCCCTAATATTTCAATGCTCAAAATAATGAATTTCAATCTTCTACTTACAACATTGGATCTGTTTGATTATATGAAACTCTACAAGTAGTTTTGATTGTGTCCTCTATGGATCGTTGACATTATAATGTTAAGGTCGAGTTAAATTTGAGACGGATAGTTGGTTTAGGTGGTTAGATTGGACATGTTGAAAGTAAGGTAAAGTACGTGTTACCTCTAAGAGGGTAATAATATCTTATCCACCTATTTTTAGAAAATTTGTTGTAAACATATATTTCCTAAATGTAAGCTAGATATGTATAAATCTCTTGATTTAAGGGAAGCTCATGCATTGATTAAACCTTTGATAAAGCTAAAAAAAAGTAGTGAGGAAACAAAGCAAGATGGAAAATAATTCTTGGACCATGTATTCTAGTTTAGAACAAGTCTACCAACGATTTGTCATGGTCGTATTGTCATGTATCATTTAACATTAAGAATATTTCTTTTTCATTTTTAAAAAATTACAAGTTTGGTCTCTAAAATTTAAAAGTTGTATTTAACAAGTCTCTGAACTTAGAAAAAAACTTCTAATAAACTTGTAAACTTTCAATTTTATGTCTAATAGATCTTTGATCTATAAAACGTTTTTTAAAATACAAGAACATATTAGACACATAAGAGGACGTTGAGGATCCTATTAAATACAAAATTCAATTTTTGTATCTAATAGGTCTGTGAATTAAAAAAAAAAAATTGAAGACTTATTTATTATAAAATTGAAAGTTCAAGAACTTATTAGATACAATATTGAAAGTTTATGAATTTATTACTCACTCAGCGACATGTTAGCGACCTATTAAACACCTTTTAAATTTTATGAACTGAACTTGTAATCTAAAGAGAATTGGAATTGGAATTTTTGAACCCCCGATAGGTTCCTTGTACGCTAATTATCTCTTAGAGAAAAAATTCAGACCGAGTTCGAGCGATATTTTAACCGAGCCAAGAAATTATAGGTCCCTCCTGATCGAGAAGATTCTGAACAAAAAAGATAATATCTCAGGATAGAAGAAGTAGAATACCATGGTAATTCTTTTATACTTCAGATGAAGTCTCCAACTCCTATGTCACAATCAAAGTGAATGGAACAAAAGCAAATGTCTACAGTTAAATGGTAAAAAAAAATTAAAAAAATATCATCTTGGGCACTAAATATCTCATGGTAGAATATGTACATATATCAGAGTAATTCTTTTATACCTGAAAGGCAAGAATCCATTGCCATTTGGAAGGAACTTACCTGAATTCAGTCATTTTTTTTATACGGAGATGTAAAAATAATTAAATAAATACATCTTTCATAATATTCCTCAGTTTTCGACACTGCCAAGCCAAAAAAATGCAGGTTATATTCTCTAAATAACAACACTATGGTATTCATTCCACTATGTAACATTTTTTTAATAATTGAGAGTCATAACTTGCTCCCCTATACTTGGGGTGCCCGCACCTGCCCCAAGGTCCAGATTCAAGAGACATCAAAGTTTTTTTTGTATCAAGCTGATTCGAAGGTTCGATCTTAAAACCTCAAAGCATGTATGACCAAACCCCTCGAGGGTCATTCCACTATGTAACTAAAACCCAATAAAACAATAATTACTCCTAAAAAGGACCATTTAGATCTAAATAATGTAGGAATTAAGATATGCTGTTTGAGCTTGAATCATAAAAATTGGATGGAGAAACAACTCAAATAAGGAAATGAAAGGAGACAGGAAAGAATATTGTTATTTCATTTCTTTGCTAATGAATATATAACAACAGAACTATTCAAAAATCAAGCAAACAGGAAACAAGAGTAAAAGTCAGTTGTCTCCTTTCCCCTGAGCTCCTCCTAATAATTGACTTTATATGTGGCCCCAAATGCAGAGTAAGAAGCTTACCACATACAAAAAGGAAGGCCAAAACAGGCAGCCATATAAGATTGTTTGTAGCAGTAATATTACCTGTTTTTGGAGGCAACCACTGAGTATTCTCTGTTACTTTCCCTATAATTTTAGCAGCCCATCTCCAGTAAGTTTGTTGCTGTTCCCATGCCCCTATCCACCATGATAATGGAAAAATCTTCTACTACCATTATTACAATGTAATATTTCCAACAAATAAAATTTCAAGACACCGAATTCCAGAAAAAGAGAGGTGAAAAAAAAAACCTTTTGAGTTTGCAGTAAAAAGTTTGGATTGCATAGGTTTCGAAACTCTCTTACATTTTTTCATTTTGGTTCCATTCTTATACTTTCAAATGTTTTTGTTTTCATCTCTAAACTTTACACAATTTGTTTTAATGATTGTTGCTAAAATCTCCATATTAGATATAATATAATTTTGGAGTAGTATCATGCAGAGTTGAATTCTAAGCTACCATGTATTGAATTCAACATCAAACTCAGAAATAGGTGGCCAAAGAATTTTGTCAAATACACTACAGTTAACCACAACAATCTAAACAGCTATTTATGAAAGTTTGATGACTAAAACAAAACATTTGAAAGTAAAAAGGGCCAAACATATATTATAACAGAACCCAATAGCTAAATTGTAGAAATGTGGCCCAAGAGCAAGCACAAGTATGAATCACTCAGAAACTCACTAGTGAAATAGACAAAAGAGCCTTTGCAAAAATAAAGAAATTGACAAAACAGAAGAAGAAAGAGTTACTCATTGAATATATTTGGGAATTTCTCCCTTTCTTAAAAGGGAGAGAGAGTACTCAGCAGTATCAATGAGGTCTTCAATATTGTGAAGAGATCGTTCTTCAGAAGCAAGCAAGAAAATGCCACGAACTTCTGCCTTCTTTGCTAACCTTGCTGCGAAGCTGAGAGGCAACATTGGGGAGTTGAGGCTCCTCAATATTTGGCGATAAAGTGATAGAACGCGCCCTCTGTTCCTCGCTAAATCCTCTGCTGTTGCCCATATCATACCTTTCGCCATTTCTCACACTGGAAATAAAAAGTAAGAAAACTCAAGACGTCAGAACCTATGTAATGTCATTTTCCTGTCAAATTAACATTGATGGTCACCTGTTAGGACCTTATCTAACCCGTGGGCTCAAATTTCTTGATGAATGGTGATTTGACCGTTGCCAATCAGAGGTCAAGTTCTTGGTGGCATTTCATCAAACAGGTGGTGCCCATGTCACTGATCTAGCCGAACCTCTCTCAAGCTTCAGTAATTACTACTCGTTTCATCAGTAGGAGAAACAACGCAAGAATACAAATTAGAGCGATGCCAAATTCTTAAAGATTTTGGGAATTTATCGAGGATCAAAACACCAAGCCAACCACAGTGTATTCCCATTCACAAGATTAGCAGTAAAAACTAAAAAGAAATTAAGGATATGGGCTTTTTGCTTACCTTGGCGTGCGGAAGAATGCGATGCCGAAGAAGCACTGGGCGAGCGGATCCACGAATGAAGAAGGATGACAATGGAGTTACCCAGAGCGGAGAGCCTCAGGAGGTACCCTTTTTTTCTTTCTTCTTTTTAAAATTAAATTGAATTTAATTATTTATTTTCAACTCCATTACAAATTTAGTCATAAACTTACGAACTCAGTTTTTAAATTTAAAAATGTCTCATAAGCCTTTTGGATTCTCAATTTTATTTAAATATTTTTAAAATGCAAACCTATTATAGACACAAAATTAAAAGGTCAAATTTAAAATTTTTGTGTGAATAAGCTCCATAGTATTAAAAAAACAAGTTAAAATACTATTTTGATTCTCGTACTTTTATTTTACTTTTAATCTTATTCTGAAATGTAACTATGATTTTATATTAAATCATTTTGATATTTATAGAATTTGTGCTAAAATTTTGTAAATAAGAATCAAATGACACTGACCAAAACAAACTTTTTAAAAGTATATTGACTAAAATGAATAAAAGTTGAAAATACAGCTACTAAAATAGTATTAAGAATTCAAGAATCACGATATACTTTTAAGGTGAATTACTTGTTATTTGACCTAAATTTTAACTTCACACTTTTAATTTTATTAAATTAAACTTTTTGACTAAATAACAAGGTTAGTATTTCTAATTAGTTAAATTCTCATTTCTCAAAGATTTATGGTTATCTACCATCTAAACACTTGTTCACCAGTTTGATTTTGTGCACTAGTTTGAATATTTTTATGATTATGTTTACACAAAATTTCTTTTTAATATAACAATACAAATGTACAAAGGGATTTTAAGATTTGCATTAATGCTGTTTAAATGGAGCAAAATTTTCACAGATATTCTTCAAAATTGAAGAACTCAAATATCAATATTAGAGAAGAACTTTTTTTTAAAGGAAAAGAACATGAAATGTTGTAAAAATAATTAAGTATGTCTACTTAAAATATAAACAAAGAAGATCATTCAACACTAATCAAACATGTATATATATTCCTCTCTCGATCGAGAAATACATATGAATCACAAACAAACAAAGTCAATCCGAGTCCTTAACCTACCTATTTCCTCTCATGTTTGTAGTATCTAAGTTGCAAACAATATCAATCTCATGATGCTTAAAATTTTATGGTAATTTTCCTTTGTAGATCATCACATTTACTCACCTTTTTTGCTCCTCCCCGTTTATTGTTGCAAAAATATGTACCAATCCATGGTTCGACGTTCCTCGGCCCATCACGGTACAACAATCTTTGGGAATCACAATGTAGTTGACCCCTCAAATGCATGTTTGAAATCTATCTGCTTCTGTTCGAAATACATTGTTCCAACCCAATACTACGAAGACGAGATGGAGGGACTTAATGGCAATTCACTTTCCCTAGGGCACTTTTCATGATTGTTTCCTCCATTGGTATTTGAATCCATACCCTCTTCCCTGGTTGTTCCGAAATGCACCCGACGCTTCCCGCCGCCGGGAGAATCACAATTTGGAGATTCTGCCCCCGATGGATTGGCAGCGGGCGGCGCCCGATTGGTAGAGGAATTGAAGGCATTGAATCGAGGAGGCTGAGGCTGAGCAGCGGGTTTGAAGCAATGATACAAATAAACAAGAAGCCAGAAGATCCAAGGAGTAGCGACGAGTACGATCCCGACGATCGGATACCAATCGGTGGATTCCGATTGCGGGAGATAAAGGTAGAGGCCGAGGAGGAGACCGCCGGAGATAATGCAGAGGAAGATCACCCCGGAGATTATTAGAATTCTTGCATCTCCTTTTCTTTCTTCCATCAAATATGTCATGCTGCAAAAAAGTCCTCAGATCTGCAGCTGCTTATTCATCCATGGCGATCCACGCATCAAACACTTTCTTCTTCTTCATGCCCGAAATCAAACCTTCTTCACAAATGTTGAGAGAAAATTTTGTAAAACTTCCTTTGGAATCGCATAACCTATTTATAGAGCTCATAGTTGCATTGTACAAGAGATATAGGCCTTCTCTCCACCTTGTAAATTGCCAATTACAACTATACAAATTATCAATTTCCTAACTTATAATATAACAAGTACAAGTGGGATCGGAGACATTCAGATGTCAGTTATCTTTGAGTTAAAAACATGTTGACAGTTATAATATATGTTAAACTCATACTTTTTGGTTCTAGAAGGTTTAATTAAATTAAGTGTTATGTAATGATTTAGTCATTGAAGTTTATAAACAGACATTTTGGTCCTTACCATGTTATCGATCTACAAGAAATTTTAAACTATAAAGACTAAATTGTTATCTATTAAAGTCTAAGAACTAAATTATTACCATTTAAGTTAGCAAAATTGAATCAGAACAAAAAAAATTATAGGTGATTATCGATTGCCTGAGGTCTGAAGAAGTTTTTAGATCAGCTTATTATTATTATTACTACTACTATATATATACACACATAATATATATATATATATATATATGTATATATTATTTACATTTTACCTTCAAAATTGAAGATACAAATGGTTATCAATTTTAAAGGATATTCATACTCAAATTCCAAATAAACATCGCTAAACCGAGCATAACCCAACTGATTAATGTACCTATCTTCAATTATACAAATAAACCAAAAACTAAAATGATCTGGACAATCGAATAGCAATCTTTGGATTCTGATCGAGGGAGGAAGAAGTAGAGGCAGAGAACAAGACCGTCGAACAATGAAAAGAAAGATCAACCCGAAGATAATGACAATTCTTGCATCTCCTTTTCTTCCATCAAATATCTCACAATGCTGAGCTTCTCAAATCTGATCTATACCAAAATCCACCAAGACAAAAGGGTTGAATTATTGATATATAATGTACAACTGTTTACATTGATATAACTAACAGTTTACATGTACAACTTTTCTCTGATTTAACATCACAGTAAGAGAGAGAGAGAGTGAGGAGAGGGAATGAAAACAGCAATAGAAATGATGAATTTTCAATTACAATATATTACTCTCTCATGCTGTTAAGGTTTCCAATCACGACGCAGTGCACGTAATCATCTCGGCAACCGACGAAAATACGTCCACCTATCATAACAGGTGAGGAGAATATGTCTCCTTCAAGATCCATTCTAGCAAATTCTTCCACGTTTGTATTTCGGTAACCTCCCTCCTGCGTCGTGCTTGAGCTAACTCGAAGCAAATGTATGGCTCCAGAACTGGAGCAAACACAAATCAGCCTGGAACAATGCATTGTTTTTTCCCTCAGAAACCGCTTTCGTCCATATTAGAAAGTAATTGCAGGTAGTTCAATGAAACAGAATCCCCGATTACTCGATGAATACCCCATGGCCATGATGGTAAAGACAAATTTTCATTACATCCATGTCAACAAATATTATTAACAAGTTTAGCGTAGATTCGTGTATCATTTCAATTTTGTTTCCTCGTACCTGTCCGATGAGACAGAAGTTTCAGAAACAAGTTGCAGGTGCTCGTCAACGCAAGCGGATGCTGTTATTGGATTGCCAATGTTGTACTCCCACACTAGATTTCCACTTTCCTGAGTAAAACCAAGAGAGAACAGACCATTTCAAGATTAGTTTCAAGTAATAGTGATTTAGCAGCATATAAGTGTGGATTTGAATATAAGATGCAAAAAGTTTCTTGTGTCGCAGGGATTTATTTTCTTTTAAAAGCTCGGTTTCTTATTAAAAAAGGAAAAAGAGTAAAGGATGGGTAACTATTGAATGAGTATTCCGAGTAGACTACAATTGGAAGAGTGGGGAGGGATCTTGAATTTCTACTCAATCTTGTAATATTTTCCTAGTCTCAATATGAATATCTATTTGGTTCCCATGAAGATATTGTACCAAAATTTTGCTGGAGTAGGGACAAATAGGGGATTATGCCAGTGAGAAGTACTTGAAAATGAAGAGGCCGGAAATAAGCTTTAAAAAGTAATTACAGTGGCATTTACCAGTTCAAAAGAATAAATGCTTCCATTTCTGGAACATATGAGCACCTGGAACACAAGATTTATAATAAGCATAATTCTTACTTTAAAACAGAGTATAGGGTCGTAGATCAAATCACACTTTCATAGATAAAGAATGAAAGAAAATAATTATAACCATCAATACATGATGTGCTGAAATAGATATGGAAGAAAAATGAAAGCTAGATCAAGAGGAAGTTATAAAATAAAACAAAAAAAAAAGATATGAGAAATAGTTTATAAAGACTTACGAGGGTATTGCAAAAATATACCTGTAAAGGGAAGGCAGAGGAAATGCAGGCTCCAGCAAATATAGGACCACCAGTTTTGCACTGAATGATATAATTGTTGATGAGCACAAAATGAAAAAATTTGCATAGAATTTACAATACACTGAGAGAAAATGAATGCAACTGTAAGAACAGAAGATCTAATGAACTATACCCTCCATAAAACAGATCCACTTGAATCCAATGCAACAACGTGACCGTTCACCAGACAACAAATAACTACAGATAGGTAATCAAGAAATTTAGAAAAGTATTATCTGAGCAAATCTGTATTCCAACATCATAAATCCACAGATTCAAAAAAATTAAAGTTTTTAGCAGGCACTAAATTTTGTATACAGAAAACTGCTGAGGCTGTTTAAATTCACAAACTTCCGCTTCAGTACAAGGGACTTTCAGTTGGACCTAAATTAATCAAAAACGCAGATTGGGCAAATGAGATGAATATAGATGGCAAACGTAGCTTGGGCTAATTTCTTATTAGAGAAACATCAAGAAAAGCAAGTAAATTAAATTATCTTAGAGAATTGCACAAAAGCAAAGCAGAGGTGTTCAACCAAGATGGAAGATGGAAATACAAGGACAAAAGGATGTAGCATTTTTTTTTTTAATCAAAGTGAAACTAATGCCCGAAAAGAGTATAGGAAGATTGTCAGATACCTGAGAGAAATAGAAGAAACACAACAAATTTTCAGAAAGTGAGATACTCAACATACAAAATTGCAGCAAAACCGTCAAAAGTAAAGAACGTTGTTTTTTTTTTTCCTTTTTGCAACCAAAACATTTGTTCCATACTTGAGTTACTTAAAAGTGAAAAACTTCAGTAGCCTGTCTCCAACCGATGCAGAGTGAGTTAAACTTCCTTATTCCAGACTTCTAATGTTTTCCAAAATTCAGACCACATAGATCATTTGTCTACAAAAATTTTACTTACCATACATGGAAAATGTGTGGAAGGAAAGATTTACTTACAGAAAACACGAAACACAGATCACAAAGACATACCATTTCTATTAAGTGGATCAATCACAAGGGACCCGAAGACTGGTGCCTCTAGATCATAATGCCAGAAAGTACCGAAAGGAAAAGCCTGAAATTATTAAGACAAGCAAATAGTCAACAGGCAGTTACATGGCTTTGGAATCGTAGAATATTATATTGGAGACAGCTAAGGCATCTCTAACTTCCATGAAATTTTAACAAGAACGGAATGCTGACAATGCAAGTTGGAGGATTTGGAGAGCAAAGGAGATGCGAATATATAAAAGGTGGAACTAAGCGCTCAATTGAAAGTTCCTAGAAGAAGGAAAGAGATGAAACCAGACAGTGCAGAAAGCTACATGATACATTGCGTTTGTTACCCATGGCATCCCTCTAGAATCAATAGCTAGTATTTTTTAGCTTTAAATCTCATTTTGGCCCTTGAACTTTCAAAAGGTTTATTTTAGTCTAATAACTCCCAAATTTTAATATTTTGGTCCTTGATATTATCTTTTCACCTAATATCTTTCCATTCAATACTTGCCTTTTGCCAACCTAGGTGACTCTAATGCATGAATATTTTAAACAAATCACATTTCAAACAGTACGCAGGCAATATCTGAAGAGCTAAACAAAATAAAAGTCATGCTTTCATTGAAAGAATGAAAGAAAACAAAAGAGCATATACGGAAAGATAGTCCATCAAAAGGAGCTAAACATATGCTAGTAGTTGCCATTGCCTTTATCAAAAGAGCACTGATTCGTCCACTTGTTGAAGCCACATAAAGTCTATGTTGCACCTACAGAAAGGGTAAAGTTACATTTAATCAAGTTAATAATAGAAAAACTTCAATACTCCTAACTTATTGCTTCTTTATTTTACAATGTGCAATAGAGGCAATATTGAAACGAGAATTTCCATTACTCAAAATTAAGTCAATTCAATGTAACTGTAAAAGTGAACATTCTTCAAATATTTATGTCTTTTTGAGCGCCTGTTGAAGGTGCATATATCATAATCCTATATCCCCTCTCCTCTTCTATTGTAGGTACAGACTTGTACACATCAAAACGAGCTGAATATGAACTAAAAATAAAAAGAATATAATAAAATAGAAGGAAAAAAATACAAAAAGTAAAATGGATTATTTGCTTTCTTGGGTCTCTTCTCAAAACCCTAGCCTGTTTGTTTAACTACCAACCTAAGAGGTTTTATGAAGCCAATTATAATTCTTCAAAGAGATAACAGAAAGCTAAACCAAACATTTCCCGAATGAAGGCCCACCCATTAGCCACAAAAGAACAATGGAGGAATGAACGATCTAGACTCTATCCTCAAAACATAAGCAGCAACCACGGGGAGAGATAGCCCAATGAGGATTCTTTTCCTGTAATCTATCTTGAGTATTAAGCTCCTACTCCTATAGGCAAGAGACTAAAAGAGAAATATACTTTCTCAGGCACCTTACCATCCCAAACTAGCTCTACAAGGAGAAAAATCAACCTTGAGGCTCTAGTTACAAGCTTCAGATGGGCAGATTTACAAGAGAAGGCGCCTAATTTGTCTATGGACCAAATGACTTTGTTTTTGTTCAAACCTAGTCTAATACCTTTCTTTGAGGTGAACCCAACCATTATTTTCTCTTTCAACAAGTTCCTCCTAAGCCCAGAGCCCAAGTTGACATACTATGTGTTCCAACAATTATTGACTATACAACCTTTTTGGTTAGAGAGGCATAAATATCATGAAAGCAGAGATTCAAACGGGAGAAATCACATCAACTATCCTCCCAAAATCTTATTTCCTGCCCATTTTCCAGCTTACATATGACGAGGTGACCAGACAACTCACTATTTTTAGTAATGTTGGGCCAAGGGCAGCCCTCCTTGTTCGCATTAGGAACATTTGTGAGCCTGGCGTGGCCATCTAAACCATATAACTTCTAATGATCCTCCTCCACAAAGCTAGTTCCTCATGAATGAATCTCGAAAACCATTTATCCATGCTCTCATTTGAAAAACGAACACCAGACAAATAAAAGTTTTAAAAATAAAAATAAAAAGGTAACTTGAAATAATCATGTTAACTATTGATCAGTCATTCTGCAAAGTACAGGAAAAAAAATTGACTGACAGAGTTTACCCCGTCAATTGCAGGTGATCCATATATACTTCCTCCGCATGGAAGTTTATAAACACAAGTATGCCTCACATAGTCAAGTGCATATAAGTTATGGTCATATGATCCACACCTGCATGATAATTTATAAATCATAAGCTAAAAATTTGGTGTACCATGAAATGATCTATTTAAACAATACATTTCCTTTTACAGTCGAGGGAATGAGCAATGTTTTCTACAAAAAAAACTCCCAACAGGTAATTAAAATTCAAAAACATCCTAAAGGAGGAGAATGAACAAGCAGTAGGCTAAAGTACAGAAGTAAAACCATACCAGATCAAATTTCTCTGTGAGTCAACCACTGGCTGTGATTTAACCTTCATTTTAAAAATGAAATCTTTACTAATTAGGAGAAGCTGATGAGTAAAACATGTTTTAAACATTGGCAGTTGAATAATCTGTATCAAATATGACAATCTGAGATCATGTGCAATTTTGTTTCCTTTCTTTAACATACAGTGCTTTGGTACGAACTAAATAGACACAAATCAAAAGGTATGAGGTAGATGTAATTCTCATTCCCCTTTTAATACATTCAACAGAACTTTCGTGCTTGATCATTGACCAATTTGTTAATAAACAAATAGCTTTACCTCTCCACACGTTTGGAATGTCCAATGGATAATGCCAGTGGAAAACTCCAGAAAATATATCTTCCCTTCGTAGCAACCTACTACAACCTATAAGTTCCCAAGAATGGTAAGTAAATATATCTAGCTTCCAAGAATGGTAAATAAATATATCTAAGACAAATAGTTAATCAAATGTCATGCCAAGTGCATCACAATAATGAGATAACCTGAGAAAAGTCTCCAACAATTGCCGTGGAACATTCAATTCGTCCTTCAAGCCTTATTTCCCATTGAAGAGAAGCGCTACAGAAAGTCATGCAATAAAAGTAGAACTTCAGTAAATCAAATAGAAATGAATTAGTAATTATTGAGTGTACATTTAAAAGTAAAAAATTAAAATTAAAATTAAAGAAAAAGGAAGCTCCCCTCCCACAACCCAAAGAGTTGACAGATTTTTTTTTTTATTCTAGCCACTTTGGAGTTTTCTTCTTCAAACTTTTTTTTTTTGGTGGTAATGTCCTTGGCTTTTGTTCGGGAGGATACTTCCTCGGTACATTCTCTTCAACTAGTAGGTTTGCTTTTCGGTCAAGGAAGATAAGTTGCATGCATTCCTAGGATACTTTTAAGCTTGGTTTCTTACCAAGTTAAAAAGGAACATTTAACATATACATATTTCCACCTAAAATAAGAAAAATAGTGATAATGGGCCTGAGATAAAAGTCTATCGAATTAAAAAAAAAACACCTATATGCATAACATAAAGAAAGAAAATGTTTAGGACAACGCAGAAGGAATAATCTGGCTAATTAGAATTAGAGAGAAAAGTAATACACATGTTCTGAATACTTAATGCTGCTTACGTTTTTGCATCCACACAGACAAACTTCTGTGAGTGAGAACCAATAAATAAGTAGATACAGGGGTGTTTAAACACAAGAAGTGGTGAAGCGTCAACGCAGGACTCCATATGAACTTGCCAAAATTTTTTCATAGAACCATATTCGCCTCTTTGAGACTTCACTGACAAAGTTTCTGCACATTCGTTATTACCAATGTACTTGTGTTCATACACAACCTTGTTGCATCGACTGAATGCACATGACATGGATGTTAAAAGAGAATTCCACAGGTGCCCACCAACTTGACTTATGTGTTCCAAATTGACAGAAAAATCAGAAACTGCCTTATAGTGTTTTGAGATAGAAGAATTGTCATTCCTTGGTATGGCTACCCTTGACAAAGTTTCATTTGACTGGACTTGTTTCCTTTTTCCAAAATTCCCACCCTCTTTAAGATCAAAAGGGTTCAGTATCTCAGAACCCTCAAAAGAAAATTTGTTCCACTTATCAGTTCTCAGGTTCTTTCTTGAGTCAACATCTCTACTAATATCTATGATATCTGATCCTTTCTTTTCTAGAAGAGCCGTTAGAAGCTTAGCTGGACTTGGATAGTGATACAGCCATCTTATATCAACCCCTAATTTATGTGAGACATGCGCTGCAGTTATAGAGTTACCACCCATCATGAAGAAGTCATCATTACTGGAGACCTCTTCAACCATTAAAACATCAGAAAAAACCTGCAATGCAAGAGAATAGATGTTGAAAAAGTGTGCAGAATATGTAATATAGGTAACGTATTCCATTATCCATTTTACAAGCTACCAAAAACGAAGCAACAGGGCCTGAAATATCGAGATGATGAGGATCAGACCTTTTTTATGACTTGCATGAAGTCATTTTCCTGAGTTTCATCAAAATTTTCATGCACATGCTCCCAAAGAGGATATGAATGCATTACAAGCTCATAATCAACTTTTCCACTGGATGACATAGGAATTGAATCGACGCAGATAAATCTGTTAGGAATCATAGCCAGTGGAACTTTGTCGACCATCCAACTTCTGACTGATTTGAATACTTCACTTTTCTTGTTATCCTTTAAAACTAGAAAAGCTACTAGATATTCAAGTTCCCTGTCACTTCTACTGGAAACTGCAGCTGCATTTACTACATCCGGATGTTCCATTAAAGCATCCTCAATCTCTTCTAAAGCAATACGTTGCCCATTAACTTTGATACTACGATCTTTTCTCCCCAAGAAAACCAAGTCACCACTTTGAAGCCGTCTGACAAAATCACCAGTCCTGATATAAATTTTACAATTTTCATTCAATGAACCTCCATTAACAAGGCCTTGAGATAATTTTGTACCATCCAAAGGGAGAAAAGTAGAATCTGAATAATATCCACTACATACACAGGGACCACCAACACACAGTTCTCCCTGGTTCGGTGCATCATTTTCACCAACAACCACAACATCACAGTGAGAAATCGGCACACCAATAGGAACAGTATTGATTGCTTCTGTCTCCAAAATCCTTGGCATCCTCTTGCAATCAAAATATGTACAATCACCAGACACCTTTTTATTCAGAAATTTGAGATGTTGTTAGCCAATAAATATGAGTGATGAGGCAAAAGGTGGCTCAATATGTTCCAATGAGGGTATCATATACAAGTGAATAGTGACATCTTTAACCACTATCTTGATGTGAACTTAAATAAGTTAAATTATGAAACACATACCAAGCATGAAAAGGGAGCTGCAACTTTAATTTTATTTATAAAAAGGAAAAAAAAAAGGAGAAGAAGGATAAGAGAGAAGATGAATTTCAATGTTTTCCACAAAAAGAATTTTCATTATTGAACAATATTAAGGTTTGTATAATACACAACATGATCAAGCTTTTTTAAATTCAATAGCCATCATTCACTGGCAAAATTAATGCACTGCATTCAACAAAAATTAAGGATGATGAGAGACTGCAGAGACGGAGCTAAAGAAAAAAACAAGTCCAAGCATCTTTCCTTAAATTATTCAGTCATAGATTAGCATCATGAATAGAATGTGATGCTACGCAGACAAAAGGAACGGGAAAAGTGAAACGACATTCCAAAATGAAAATATAAAGAAGTGAAAATGTTTTGCATAAATTGAGTGCATAAATTGAGTGCATAATGCTGTTAACTTTTAAATCCCAACCTCTGTACTACCATATAAATTCAAAATAGTGGTCTCTGGTAATAACTTGAGGAGCGCCTTCCATAATTGTATTGACAGAATTTCACCACTCAGAATTAACAATCTTAGGGAACATCTGTTCTGCATCACATACAGTCTTTGGAATGCAGGAAGGACCGCCCTCATTAGTGATGGAACAGCGGTAAGTTTACTAATGGAATATGCCTTCACAAAAAGAGATTAAATTTTGTCATCCATTAAATAAGAATGTAGCATGAATAATGAGCTGATATCGACTAAACAGAGTAGAACATTTTCTTGCCACAGTGCAGTAAGAGGCAGCAATAGCTTAAAGTAAAGAAACTACATGAAACATCCTAATGTAGAATCCAGAATTCAAAACCAAAAGTGTTCATGTTGATTATATACTTAAATATCTCTTTTACTTGAGGGAAGTAAAGCAAGGAAGATATAACCGAGAGAATTAGGTGAGCAAGTACAAAAGAATAGATAGTTGAGAAACTCTATAATGTTAAAGCTGATGTTACTATTATGAATACTAAGATGTGCAGTAGGGGTGTCGGTGACTTGGATTGGGTCATTGTATAACCCCGAATTGAAACCAAACTGACAAATTACAATATATATACATATAAGTCAAACCGTGCCAAATGACTCCGAGCATGATAATTAAGCAAACCATACCAAAGACCCAGCCCCATGGAAAGGAGGACAATGCTAGTATATTTGTGCCACAAGACATGGTTTGATTCTTAGGAACATCATAGGGATAGATGTTACAAATATTATTAGGGTAGAAATGGTATATTTTAGTCATAGAGTGAGGAAGAAAGGTGATGAGAAGCAAATGTTTGGTTGTTTAGGCTTCAGTTTGCTCAAGAGGGAGGCGCCATTGAGATATATTTCTAAATTTTCTTGTTCTGCAAGCTACCAATACAATTTCATTTTCTTCTTTGGATTCTATCCTAGATCCCAAGTATCTCAACGAATTCAGCTTCCTTTTCAGCATCACTTTCTGCTTTCTTTTCTTCCTCTCAAAACTTTCTTGAACCGACCAATATATTTGTCCTTTTTCTTCTTTAACTACTTGAATAAAGGATCTATTCTCTTTCTTGTTAGTAAGTTCAAGATTTAAACTCCTTTCATCTTCCTTTCTCTTGTTTTTCTATCTCCCTTTCCCTAAATACCCTCCAGCCCCTAACTAGCACCTGCTAGAACTTTGATACACCTCTTCACTTCATTTGATAATGAACTAAGTTCTACGAACCACCCTTCTAATTTTAATTCTTCTGCACCCAATAAGTTCCATCATCATTCTTGAAGCTCTTGAGAATCAGAGGATTTTGGAGAATCTTCACCAACACTTGTTCCAACCATCTCAGTTCTTCCATTGCAGCCCAATGCAAAAAGATGACGATTTTCTTTTCTCTTCAATCTCAATCAAAAAAACCCTTGACTCACTACTTAATCTAATAAATAAAGATTTATTTTCCAAACAACAGTTAGTATAATCCATTGAATCTATCTGCAAGCTTCATTTTCACACGAAGAAAGAAGTAATGACCAGAGAAAAATATCCATAGCTACTAATATGAATATTCAAAACTAGAAAGAACATATTTAGACTTGTTTTCCTTGTACCTTGTACGAGCGTTTAATCTCGGTTCATATGTGTAATTTAAAATTGAACAGAATAAAAGGCAGGATGGACCAATCATCTGATTAAAAACTCTACATCAGCCTACCTGGATAAAATTGACAACAGAACATAAAGTTTCTTTTAGCTCTTTCATTGGAGGTATAACCAAGGCAGAAGATGTTAGTATGGCACTAAGAAATTCTTGAATGTGATCAATAAAGCTAATAGGTGTCTTGAACAATAAAAGTTCCTCTCCACTACATGGAAATAATTCTTGCATCCATTGAAAGCGATTTAGAAGACCTACAAAATTTAAACCAATTTTGTTAAAGAAATAACACCCCAATCATTTTTGTGAGTGATATTATGAAGAGGAGTGAAGAAGCCATAGATCTTACTTTATATTATACTCACGTGGGAAAGAAGAAAATTTTCAAATAGATCACCCTATTAGATGACCAAGAAAGGAAACTGTGAGTTACCTAAACAATTAACCAGATTTTTTTATAAGGAATGAAATATGTTCAAAAAGCCCAAAAAGATGAACAACCTAATGGTTGGGGGTAAGAAAACCCCACCAAGAAAATACTATTATAAAGCATCTCCAATCAAGGTTGATATAAAAAATCACTGTGATTATGAAGAGCACACTAGCACAGTGAAAAGAAAAACTTATTTAAGAAGTGAAAAAAAACTCTATATTAATTGAAATAAATTTTTACAAGTTTCTTAGTTTTCAAGAACATTTGTTTGATATCGATATTTCTACAAGATTGAGAACTTGATGTTTCCATTGACTAGATAATCTAATCTTGGTAATAGCGTACCTTGTTCGGTGCCACATATGCCTTTAGGCTTTCCAGTAGATCCAGATGTATACATGACATAACAGAACAACCTCCCTTTCCCATGTTCACAAGGAAAAACTAAATCAACTGAACTATTATGCTCTTGAATGAAACTTTCTTCCATATTAAAACAAAAGGTTGGACAGCCACTGCTTTGCAAGAGCCAATGTAATCCATCAGACAGGTGATAGCCATCTTCACAAAATGAAGATCCAGAGTAGATAATAAGTTCAACTTTCGAAGACGAAACAACAGACAGAATCCTACTCTTTGGCCATGCAGGGTCCAAGGGCATAAAAGCCCCTCCGCATCTCAGTACAGAAAGAACAGCAACTATGTATTCAACTGAAGGTGGCATATATATTCCAAAAATTTTTGGTATATTAGCACCCTCAAGCCCAGTTGAGGAGCCTTCAGAAAATCCGTTCCCATCATTCGCTGCAAAATTGGAGTTCAATTGCCCAATTAATTAGAGCGCCCATTGATTCCCTCATGTAGTAACACGAAGACAGTACGCTAATTTACAGAATCATAGGAATATTTAGCTTCTGATTCGTCTTCAAATTATTTCTCTATTAATCTTGCAGCTAACTCTAAAAGCTTCCTTGTTAAACTGATAATCAATTGAGATAGGGAATGGTTCAAATTGAAGCAGTAACCTCGAATAAGAAGACGGGAGCTGAGAGAATCAACGGAGGCCAGCAAGTGCGAGTAAGTGAAGAACCGGTCGCCTTCGTACATCGAGGGGAAAGCCGATATGGCCCGCTCCTTGAAGAAATTATCGGCTCCGTCGCCGGAGATAATGTTGCTGTCGCCGCCGCCGCCATGTAACTGCCGGAAAAGTTGGACTCCGCCAGAGGCGTGAATCACTGCGATTTTGTGAGGATGAGCTGATGAAACTCTCTGAAACTCGTGGAATATGCAGCAAGGAGGCTGCTTCATGGTCTCTTTCGTTGAAGTTGAACCATAGCAGTAGCAGTGCTGCTGCAGCGGCTCACAAGTTTACCTCAAATCTACCATTGCTGCTTCTGGATTCATTGCTTCAATAATTGTTTCGTTCTGGCAACGAAGAAAAAGAAATGGAAATTCTTCCTCGTTTCGCGCGAAAATTGTAAATTATAATGAAAAGTTAGAAAGGGAAAATCCCGTGGGTAAAATTTCAATTTCATGAATCATAATTTTAGGTTACATAAATTTTGCAATTGGATGGACGGAGATTGGAACAAAATAAATACTTTAACTATTTGAGTTCATGGTTATAAATATTCGAACTCGCCTTCAATTGGATGGACGTTTCTATCGACATGTCCATGTTTTTATAGATTCAACATCGACGTAAGAAGTAAATCGATATTTCTACCATAGTATAAAAAAATCGACAAAATATAAAAAATATCAACAAAATCACATTAATATATACATAATATTAATATTAATTATTTTTAATTTATTTAGAAATAAGAAAATATTTATGTGTTAGTTTAAATATTTTTTACGATTTTTTAATTTCTCTAACTTTTATAGAAATATCCATGGACATTGACATTTTATCAATATTTTCATGAAATTGAGACGTTGATATCTCCATCAACATCGACATTTAAAACATTGGTTGAGTTAGATTTCATCTGGAGCGTTAAAAAATAATCTCACGTGTTTAATTTGTTTAATAAAAAAAACAATATTACTACAATAAGTCTTTTTTTTTAATTTGTGAGGTTAATTTAAAAACTTATTTGGATGTCGAATGGATTTGTGGTCCCTTTTAGCTTCAAACATATACAATGTTGTTTACATAAATATATTTACCAGCACGTTTACTTCTTGTTCAAATCAAAAGCTTATAACAAAAATTATCTTCAACCAATTTGAAGAGACACAAGTACTTTTTAAGTTATTAAGTTCTTATTTGTTCTAAAAAAAAAGTTCTTATTTCATAATTATTTTATTTTTTATTTATCGATTAAACTTATAAATACCATTTTTATTTTTATTTTTTGTTTTTTATATCTGCTTTTAGAGGTAATTTTAAGCAAAAGTTTGAAAATTAAAAAAAAAAAAGATTTTTGAAAACTTATTTTTAGTTTTGAAGTTTAGCAAAGATTTAGAGACGTGAAAACCTATGAAATAAATAGTAAGAAAGTAATTTCGATTTCACTAACTTTAACTTAATTCAACTGGTTAATTTATCTCTAGCCAAAAGTTGGTGGGTGCGAATTTCTACCGTCACATGTTATTGTTTATTAAAGAAATTAAGCATAATTTCTAAGAAGGTAAAAATTAAAACCAAATCATTATCGTACCTACATTTTCTACTAAAGCTGAAACTCAAAAAGCTGAAACTCAAAACTTTAGAGGTATCTCCAAACTTTTTGCAAACACTTATCAATAAGGTTATCTCTTGGAAATACTAAATTTGTTCTAAGTAAAAAAGTTTCAAATTTACTTTTAATATATACAAAAATTTCATCTTTTTTTCTTCAAGTTCAAGCAAGGGAATATTCGAACTTCGAATCTTTTGTAAGGTAGTGCCTTGAACAAATTAAAAATTAAAAAAAAAAAAAAAAACTCCATCATTTGCTATGACAAGCATGAAACCAATAACGAAAATCAAGAATAGTACCTAGCAACTAAAAAAAGTCTTCCTACTAACCACCGTTAAAAACTCGACAAATTTTTTTTCTTTTAAAAGTATCTCTCCTCCCTCTTTCTTGCATTCGTTTTTCCTTATTTGTAAAAAATACTAAGTATCATTCTAAAATCAGATTAAGATGAACACAAGATAAATATCGAAATATACATTAAATTATCAAACTTGTTTTTTTAAATTAAAAAAACACACACACACAACCTATCCAACCTATAATTAAAAACAATCAACCAACCAACAAAAATCAAACCAAAATATGGTGCATTAACTTTCCAAAACAACCAAAAAATGAACAATATTTTTCAATCTAATGATGGCAGGCCAAGCAGGAAACCAACTTACGAGCAAAAGATTTGGGCTTGTGATTAGAAAGCTGAGGTTGGCTTCCACAGACAACAATCTGAGACTCATCAGCTCCATTTTCCTTGGCTTTCTCACACTCTCTCAAGAAACTCTTCATTGCATTTTCACAGTAAGAAGCTGCCTCAGAAACTGACATTTTCTCCACCAGTTTATAGGGATATATTTCCTTATCGGCATCTCCTTTCAGTACTGCTGCTAACTGTACTATCTCCTCCTGGAACTCGCTGATCTGCCTCGTCTCATTCGCCCCAACGTCCCGTAATTTCACCGCGTCGTTTAACGTCACTGTCATCACCAAAAATAGAACCTCACTTGCATATCTTAACAATGAAATGTTAAGGATTCCACATTGATAAAAGAAGGGACCTTCCATTATGGACTACTCCTCTTATTGTCAATTGATTTCAAAATGGAATCCTATGAATCTTAATATGAAATTGTATATGCATATATGAGGTAAAAAGTTAAAATAATATGTTTTATATGATAATTAGTTGAGAATGTGTTCAATTAGCTAGGATTGAAAAAAGGTTGGTATTGTTGAGTACTTTTATTGATTATCAAAATCTATAGACTAAATACTAGAATTTTATTTTCAACTTATAAATTTTTAAGGATGTTACTAATGATCATAAGTCAATTAGCCGATTGACTTTTTCTTTTTTGCCTCCCAATGAACAAAGGATTGAAGGTCAGTGTCGTTAGTTTTGAAATATATTCAATGTTTTTAATATGTTATTGATAAAGAAGATTAACAATATTTATTATTTAAGGGGCATTTATTATAAAGATAGCTTAAAATAAATATGTATTTTTAAATATAACCAAAAATTACAAAAATAACCTAATCCAAACCAAACTCAAACTAAAATGTTATTAAATGTAAAAAAAAAACTCAAATTTAATTTTAAACCCACTAAAAAAGGTCTAAATATCATGTTTATTAAAAATATAACATTTATTATAATTCATATTAAATTTATAAAATTTATGATATGTAGTAAAATTTAGGTTTAAATATACTATTTTGGTCCATGAACAATTCAATTCAATCCATTTTAGTTTTTATTTTCAAAATTTTCATTTTACTTTATGAAATTTCAGCTTTTGTTTGTTTTAATTCTTATATTTTCACAACATCAATTTTGGTCTATATACTTTTAAATAGTGACGAACAATTTGGTCTCTATGCAATAAAAACTCTTTAATACAAAATTTATGACTATTTCAAAAAATTTAATCGGTGAAATGTCATAGCTAAATTGTAATAGAAAAAATGAGATAACTATGAAAATAAATGAACCAAAATAGTCCATTTTGAAAAATACAATAATCAAATTGGACGTTTTGAAAATACAATAATTAAAATGAACAAAAGTTAAAAGTACATAGATCAAATAGACATTTTGAAAGTATACGGTGAGAATCGAAACGAATCAAACCTAAAAAGACATAGTAATTTATAAACCTAAATTTATATAATTTAAATAGTTTTGAACAAAAAAAATAGAGAGAGATGATAATATAACGTTTTAAAATGAATAATTTAAAACAAAATATCCAAAAGGTTTAGAGATGAGAATTAAATAATTCCAAGTTTGTGGTCCATATACTTTATAATTTTGGGTGAAATTCAAGCATATATTTCAAGAAATTTATTGGATTATTTATAATGTTGTGCTCAAATCATAATTAAAAAAGATATTTAAAAAAAAAACTAAGGACCCGTTTGATTACGATTTCGTTTTTCGTTTTTGGTTTTTAGTTTTTTTAAAACCAATTCAATTTTTTGATTTTTGTTTTTCAAAAATTATTTTAAAATTTTAGGTAAATTTCAAAAATAAAAAAAAACAGCCATTTTCAAAAATTCCTTCTTCTAATACTCAACTTTTTTTTCTCATATTTATCCCTAAAAAATTTATTTTTCACTCTAAATTTTTTTTATTTCTAAATTTTTCTCTACAAACAGTATTTGCCCATCTCCAACGTTTTCTGTATTTTTGTTTTTTTCTAACATATCAGTTTCACTTCTCTCTCTAAAAAATTAATATTTTTCCTAACTTTTTTCTCTCAAAAATTTCATATTTATAACTTTTCTGTCTCGCTGTAATCTATTTTTTCTTTTAAAAATTATATTTTATTTTCTCGTTCAATTTTCTTTCACGGTAACTTTTATTTATCTTTGTTTTTATTTATTTTATATAAAAATTATATTTTGAATTTTGTTTTTTATGTTTCCACCATAATTTTTGTCTTTCTTTATAATTTTTTTTTCTTTAACATATCTTTTCCTCTCGATTTTATTTTTTTCTCCAAAATTTTTCGCTTTTTGTCTTTAACTTTTCTCAACATCTCTGTTTTCATAGGAGAAGACAAAGATTTCCCTTAGGGTTGGGTCCCAAAAATAGAAAATGCATGTCTCAACCCCGTCCCGTCCCCGATTCCATTTTTTAAATAATTAATATATATTTATTACACTTTTTAATATTTAAATTCTAAAAATAATTAAAAACAATTATAAAACCGATAATTTTTCTCGAGAACATCTCTTGAATCCAAAAACTAGATGGAGACGGAGACTAAAAATTTTCACGAGTTTGATAATGGGGGAGAGCATCCTTACTCGCACTCACATCATCTCTATTCTACATAAAATTTTCTCTAATTTTCTCTGACATATATGGTTTTTGTTTTTTAAAAACAGAAGACCAAAAACTAAAAACAAACAAAAATAAAAAACCGAAAACTAAAATGGCCTAAAACTATTTAATTGAAAACATTCTGGATATATTTTCATTTGATGAGAGTAAGACTTTGGGAAAAGAATATTCTGACCTGGACAATCTGTTCTTGGACTCTGCCGATTAAGAACAATCTCAAAAGTGCCCGCCCACTCGTCGCGCTTCGTCAAGAACTGCTTCAGACCGAAAATCTTCTTCACCGTCGCAGCAATCGACGAATGCTCGAACTCCGACGTCCGATCCGGCCCTTCCGCCCTATGCAACACTGCAATTTTCCACAAAATTAAATTACACTCGATCGCAAACCCATCCCAAATTTGATCAATTTACCTACCAGTTCCCGGTTCGATCCAGGGCGAAATAAACAGAGTCGGAACCCTAACTCCGAGGCGATCGAAGTTGAAATTGTACGGCGGAGGACCGACGAGGCCGTCGGGATTGGGGACGCCGGCGAGCGGCGGCGGGACGTGGTCGAAGAAACCGCCGTGCTCGTCGTAGGTGATGAGGAACAGGATATGGTTCCACTGAGGGCTGGATCGCAGAGCTTCGTAGACTTGTTTGATGAATTTTTGGCCTTCTGAAACGTCGTGAGAAGGATGGTCGTCGTTTCCGGGAATTGAGGCCAAATCGAAGTACCTCTGTTCTATCACTACGTAATTTGGGAGCTTTCCTTCTCTGCAATGGCTCTTGAAATCGATGTCGAATTGGTGGAAGTTCTTCGCGTACTTCAATTTCCTTAGATTCCTATCAAAACCAAAAGTCATTTCCATTTCCGAATGGTTTAAATTTATAAACTACAGAAAAGAATTTTAGTCTAGTACATAATTTTGTATAAAAATCATTTGGATTATGATTATTAATTTTGTTAATATAAATTATTCGATAAAATTCTAGCAAAGCACACGTTTTATTCATTTTTATGATGGAGTGGATTTCTCTTCAAAAAAAAAACATGAATTGGATTTTAAAAGGTGTATTTAAGACCATTTTAAATTTTGTTTTGATTTATATTAAATAATTAGTGAAAATTAACGTGGGGACTAAAATCGTGTTCGCATAGTTTTGAGATTAAGACATAATTATAAGGACAAAAATAGAATAAACATTAAAAATCGAAAGACGAAATATAAAATATTCTATAGTTTAAAGAGTAAATCAAAAATTAAAACCATAAAAATTTAAGAACCAAAATCTAAACCGTTAAAAAATACAAACAAATCATTTCAAAGTTTATAAATTATGAATCAAGACATTAGGTATGAAAGTTTTTTCTTTTCAACATTTCAATGGCAGGGAGGTTTTGGTATGCATCCCTCATTAGAGGAATTTGATTCAAACTCTACTTTTTAATTGGTCTTAAGAATAATAATTAATACCTAAATGCTAATACATTATCACTATTAAAAATTTGATACTTACTAAAATATTTGTATTTATATTTCTCTTATTCGTCAAAAGTTTAATGATGTCCAACAATAGATATCTAAATCTAAGGATTGATCATCACTATCTAAATATATATATATATATTTTGTATTACATTAATAATTTTTACTCATTATAGATAAAAAGATGATATACCTTTTTCTCCTAATTTGTACATTTTACCAATACAGCAAAATTGAATAGTTATCCTAATTTATACTATTATAGATCAAATATGTTGTGTCATTTTCCAAGTTTAAAAAATTGGTGAAGATTTAAATGTACTAACAAATTTCTTTTTAGAAAAGTTATCAATGATTTGACTACTTAAATTAGGTTTAAGTTAGCGTCTTCACTTTAATTTAATTTTCTTTTGAATAATTCTTCACTTTAATTATACGTTATCTCTTACCTTACGTGGAATTATCTGATGAGAACAACATTATTGTAATTAAAACTTTATTTTATAAATTGTACGGATATGTATGTACTTTTTGCACTGTGGCAAAGAAACATATCCTAATTAGATTCCACTTGACACCTAGTTGTGAAATTTTGCCACACTTTTAACACGTGGAAATTTTTTACTTAATCATGATTGAAAAATAAATGTGGTTTAATTATGTATTTACAAATTATCATATACTCTAATAAGATATTATAAAATTTAAAACAAAAATCTAGTTTAAAAAAAATAAAAACAAAAGTACAAAAATCAGAGCATATATACAGTGATTTTATTCATAAATTGTTATGGCTATATATTAATAAATACCTATAGTATTTGTCGATTTAGGTTAAACAACTACTATATTATATCATTATATGCGTTATATTTGTAATTACTTATATAAAAAACATATTTATAAACATAATAAAAATTTAGCTAAATAAAGTTTTAGTACTACCCTAAAGGTCGTTTAAGGGGGAAAAAAACTACCTAAAGGTTAAGCGTTCTTTTCAATTTAATTAGTCCCTAATGTTTTCAAATGGTTCAAATTTTGTCATTTTAATATTTTTTTCAATCATCATATTGATGAATGTATTTACTAGAATGAATTAAGTTACATAAGAAATAAAAGATCAAAATTTGAATTTTTAAAGGAGAGATTTATTAGAAAATTCCTTCTAACTTAATTTCTCTTCAAAATTTATGCCAACTCACACTAAAATTCATGTTATGTAATTAAGTTTATCATAAAATCTTCAACAAGTGACTAAATTCATTAGAAATTAAAAAATATATTCAGTCCACAGGTTTGTCCCAAAAAGACATATATTTAGCCTAAAAATATTATACCTCTCTTGCCATTATTATTATTTTGGTTTAAATATCCTTTTACCCTCAAAAGGTATATTTTAATCCCTTTAATACAAATTTTGTGAGTGAAATATTATTATAGAATTGTAATGGAAAGAAATAAGATTAAAAAAAAAATCAAATGATCAAAATAGTATTTAAGCTTTTTTTTAAAGTTATTTAATAAATTGAGCTTGACAGATAAGTAGTTTATAAAAATAATAAATTAAATGTCAGAATGTTAAAATTGTATCTATTAATTTTTTTCGATCCAAAACTATTTTGAAAAAAAATCTCTTTTATAAAACATTACTTCCAAATTCTATATATTTCAAACTGCTACGACGGAAGAAGTAGAACAAGTCCAAAAGAAAGCACCGTGAGAAAAAAGTGATTTAAAATAAATAAATAAATAAATAAAAAGAGCGAACATACCGGTAAAAGAGAGTGGTCGGAAGATACTGATAGTAAATCCCGAAACTGAATCCTTCCTCATCCAACGATTCGAAGATCGTCTTCTGCGGAAGTCCTCCGATCAGCTGCTTCGTATCGTTACTACTCAGTCCAAACGACGTCGCCGAGTGGACGTACAGCCGATTCGGCTGCGTCGACGCCGGCACCGCCGCGAACCACCGGTCGCACAATCCGAACTCCGACACCAACTCCTTGAACACCGGCACCGCCTCCGGTCGGAATCCGTTCATCACCGTCGCCGACATTCCCTTCCCGATCCGCTCGGCGTTCTGTGCGAATCCGCGCATCGTCGCGCTCGATGATTGGGCGGCGGCGGCGGCGGACCACGGCTGGCCGAAGATCTGCTCGAAGATGTCTTGGATTGAGTGGCCGGGATCGGGATCGACGAAGGCGGAGGCGTTTCCGAAGTGGAGAGAGGGGGAATTTGGATCGGAGGTGGAGATAGGGTTCGAGAATTGAGTTTCGTCGGAGACACCGTCGATTTCTGGATTTAGAGTCTTCATCCAGCCGATCATGTGGTCGAAGGATCGATTCTCTTGAACTAGAACCACGATCGTCTTGATCGGATTCGATGCGGATTTGGCGTCGCCGCCGTCGCTGCCGCCGATCTCCGGAGCCATTTCGAAGAGAGAGAAAGAGAGGAAGAAGAAGCGCCGTACGTGAGCTTCACTGGCGAGAGATTTTCATGATCTTTTTGAGAGAGAGGGACTTCTTGGAGAGGTTATGCGTATGAGCAAAAAGTAATCACACAAAAATGTTGCTTTTGGATACTGAATTTGAAGTTATATAAAAATAATTTTCTTTATTAATAATATTACGTATTTTAAGTTTTTAATTTAACAAAATATATAATTCAACCTGTGATGTGGCATGCGGGAGAAATTTGTTCAGAAAATAATATATGTTTTAACTCGTTGAATTATATTCAAATTTATTTTTTAAAAGTTAAAATGAACATACTCAGCAATAATTGGTATATATATCTATCCAATCAAGACGTTGTAAATTTGATCTCTCACCCGCACCTTAATAGATCGTTTATATAACAACCCTGGTGATGTAATCAAAATTATTTTTGTTGTTTACGCTCTAAACAACATAGGTTAGAATTATTTCTCTTAGTAATTTATAGATTAATATCGTCAACCAAAAAAAGTATTATTTTTAGTACAACATAAGAATGGTCGAACTCACTATTTTTATTTTTTATTTTTTTTTTGAAATAAGTGTCTTAAACAGGTGAGCTATATTCAAGTTAGCTAAAAAAGTTATTTGTTAGCTTACTTTAAAAAACCTTAATATTATTATTCAAACAAAATATTTTTTTACCGATGTCAAAGAAGTGGGTAAGGAGTAGTTTTTTTTAGCTCTCCATGAAATCCACCCCTAAGAGAGCATATGTCATCCTTTCAAAGGAAAGATCATGAATTTCCAAGTCGTTCCATTTTAATCTTAAACTTTTAAAATGTATATTATTTTAATCTAAACTTTCAAAATTTTATTTTGTTTATATTATTATGTCATTGAATTATCCAACGCTCCCTTCTAACTTCTAACTAATGCTTCTAACTAATGTAGTTTGAATATATGTTTATATTAACACGTGAACTAATATAAATACTGAAAATTACATATCAATTTGTTGAAAACAAAATAAAGATAAAAAGATTAAAATAATTACTTTTATAAAGTTGAAAACAAAAATAGATTCTTTGAAAGTGTATAAACCAAAATATAAATAGACTTAAAACTTTGTGACCAAAAATAGAGTAATGTTAAATATATAATCTAATACTGCGTGCCTTTCCTTCCATTTAAGTAATTGCTTTTTTTTCACATTAATGCGTACCATCTATATTTTTTACTATTATAATTTTCTAAATAATTTAAGATGTCTATTTATTCCTTCGATAATTATATATATATATTAATGGCAAAATAACTCACGTACGTTTTCAAGTCATCAAAATTCATAACTAACCGATTGACAGTTAATTAACCAGCATTCAAAACATATTTTTTAATGGCCTTAACAAAATTTGAAATAAAAAAAAACTAATTGAATAATATTTCGTATTTCTATGTTGTTGTTTTTTAATAGAGAGAAAATGGAGTTTTATCAACAATTCCATCTTATTAAAGAAAGAAAAAACCTTACTTTTTCAAATAGGATAAAATTAACTCATTACCAATATAGAAAATGACGAAAAGCGAAAGTCGATTACAAATATAGCATAAAGTACAAAAACCTTACTATTAAGATAATTAAAATGAACTCATTACTGATGTAGAAAATGACGAAAAATAAGAGTTATTATCAATATAGCATAAACTATATGATATTGTAGAACTAAAATATATATATATATATATATATATATATTTTTAATCCACACCTTTAGGGTTTAGGTCAATTATTAATTACCAAAAAAAGTAAAAACAAATGGATTGATATTATTTAATATTCAGTATTATTAGTCACTTTAAATAACAAAAATCGGTCAGGAAGTTCAGTGGTAATTGACATATATTTCAAATTAAAAGGTTGTGGAATTGATCTCCACCCACATGTTGTACTAAAAAACATCGTGGAATTTCTCATAATTTTTTTTTTTTTTTTGAGATTACAAATTTATGTGCAAGTTTTGGGAAAAAGAAATCATACCTAACATGTGGAAATATATGCCAAATGGCAAATGATGGTCGATTTTGAAAAGATACACAAGTCACTAAAATGATTGTTCTTTTTATCTTGTTGACTATCATGAATTAGTAGGCAAATTATTAAAGTATTAGAGAAAGATGTTCATGATTTGAGATGACTTTAAATGCGAAATCTTATTTTTATAACAAAATTTGAAAGCCAAGAATAATAACTTTGCTTCTAAGATCCAAATTTGAGTTGATTGAAGAGTAACTAACCAAAGGGAAGATATATGATGAACAATTTTAGTATCCGACCTAATCAGGTTGGAGATTCCCAGGTTTGATCGGAGTCGGGATTAGTATTTATATTTTTATATATAATAAAGTAATAATAAGAATAAATTAATTTATAATATATATATATATTAAGATATTAACTTTTATAATTTGTTTTAAAAGAAGCTCAACGTCTCAAGTCCAATAAACTATTAATAAATCTTTAAAAAAATAAAAATAATAAAGTTAGGTCGGGGACCCATCCCCGATCGGGGATTCCCCACCCCTAAATTTTCGGAGACAAGGATAGGGATGAGGATACCCTCTCGGTCCCGCCCCACCTTGTTGCCATCCATAATTTTAGCCTATATGTGGGACGAAATTCCTACATCAGGTGCTAAATCAATGCTTGCTTTGAATCAGAGATGGAGCTACGTAGGGCCCGAGGGGACTTGAGCCCCCTCCAACTTTTTAGCTACCCCCAACATATACGTGTCTTTTGTATTTCTTAGTCTCCAATATTGCCGTGGGTTTTATGAAAGAAAATAAAATCATCAATTTTATTTTTGAACAAGAAAAAGAAATCAATAGATTAGGTCAATTTAAAAAAAATGAAAAATTAAGAGAAATTGTAAATTTCCTATGTCAAATTTTTTTGGACAATCAAATATGTAAAATATATATATATAAAAGTTGGTGGGACCTTTATGATTTAATTGCAGCTGACAATTCAAATGCTTTTTTCTTTTTTTATTTATACATTGTTGTTGTCAGATGGGTAATAATTTTTTTATAAATTCTTCTACTAATATATTTCTTTCCTCTTTAAATCATCATTTTTTATATTCAACTCTTCTTATTTTATATATAAGTTTTAATAGAAATTGTCAATTTTAATTATGCCAAAGGTACATTTTATCTTTACATTTTATATATTATTAGTTTCACTATTTGAAAATTAATTTTTAATCTTACTATTATTAATGTTCTTGTAAAGTCAACATCATGTGAAACTTATCTCCGATCAAGAGGTGGTGAGTCTGAAGCTTCTACTCTCACTTATTATACTAAAAAAATTAACGTTCGATAGATATTTTACATAAAATTTAGAAAAATTATTGGCAATTCTTACTAAATTCAAAATTACTTTTATGAATTATCACCTGTAAGTAGTATGAAAGCCCCCTCAACAAAATTTATGGGTCGTAGAGAAGATTATGATATTCCTAATTTCAAATTCCTCTCATACCTAGTTTTTTTTTTCCTTTCTTTAATTGGAATTGTAATTTACATCACTGAATCAAGTCAGAATGCAACTGGTTAGATTAGATTTAATGGACGAGCTTCTATCTTTCTCTTTCCCCTTCTCTAAGTTCTTGAGATTTCTATGACACCCATGTCTTGATTTTGTTAAAGAAGCAGAAAAGGGGGAAAGAAATCGAATCTGAATTTGATTTTGGGGCAATTATTTGAGCAAACTTTGGCCCAGAAACAAAAATGGAACATTGGACAATACCATACAACGCCCATGCTTGAACCACGCCGAGCGGCAGCGAGAGGAGACGTGGACGAGCGATCAGCAACTGACATTGAAGTCTATCGGAGAAGGGGATGAGAAGTAGGAGAAGATAGTCCAATAAACATAATACAATATTAAATTAATATATTTTGCTAAACTAATTATTAGAGTAAGCAATTTAACAATCAAGTCATAATAAAGTTAGTCAACTAACGATCAAAAGCATCTCAGAGACTATTTAGAACTATTTTACCAACTTCAGTGAGTAAAAGTATTCATTTTAAAATGTTCAGGAACCAAATAGACGCATACTTCATATTTCAAGAACTAAAAGTGTATTTTGCCAAAAAAAAAAAAAGGCAAAACATACCCGTCACTTTTGGAAGCTTCATTTGGGATCGTCAGAGAACTTCTAATAGATGAGATTAAGTATGTAATTCTATTTATTTTCACTAACAGTTGTTGGTCCCAAGGACCATGAATGGATTCGCCTCTGACTAATGGATCTTTCGATGAAGAAGATCCGTCAATCTGAGATGAAAAGAAAGATCAAGAAGAAAGGATATTTTTATTTTATGCAAATAGATCAATTTCTAATCAGTTTATTGGCTTGCCAACACGTGGCAAATCATAAATTTCTGTAATATTAAAAATGCCTCCAATAATTGGACATGAGACTTGAGAGTTTGGTAGTGATCGTGACTGTCGTCATCCGGCCGTCCTTTATTCGGTTTATATTGCCTCCACAGCGAGTATTGGTATTTTTGTACTCTCAGGCGCGTGCTTTGACGTCGACCTGCTCGTGCCTTCCATTCCAAATGTCCCGATTCATTATTTTAAAAAACTATAGTTTGGAAACAAATCAAATTTTTATTAAAAAATAAATTCAATTTATGCAAATAAGGTTCCAAGCCAATTAAAATCTTAGTTGATAGTTTTATAAATTAAAATTCTAAATTTATTAAGTCTATCTTGCACGTGTCAAAACTATAATTTTATATTTTATATCAAGTGAAGAGAAAAATAGGATAGTAGAAGTAGCAAAATTTTAATTTAAAATAAGTAATTTCGTGTAATAAATATAGACTTACTTCTTAATTTTTAGTTAAAAAATTTTTCACCTATAGTATTATGAAATTGAAATTGTTTTTTGGAATTTAATTAAATTTGTAAAAAATTAATTAACTGTTCCCACCAACAAAGTTACTAAATTTATAAATTAGGTCAAGTTTTAAAATTTTAAGATTGAATTAACCTTATTCAAATTATCACAGTTATCTAATTATTATAAACTTTTCTTTTTATTATTTTGAATATGCT